GCCCTCGGGCTCCTTCAAGATCCGGGGCATCGGGAACCTCTGCAAGAGGGTGCGAGCGGGCGAGCCCCCCGCCCCATGCTCCCAGCGTCGGGTCCCTCTCCCCCATCCCTGCCCGATCGGAGCTCCAGCCTGGGGGGGGGGGCAGGGCTGTCCCTGCGCGGCCCGGAGCGGGGGGCTGTCCCGGCCCTGACCCGTCGCCTTTGTCTCTGCAGTGGGCTGAGCAAGGCTGTGACCATTTCGTCTGCTCCTCGGGTAGGTGGCCCGGCCTCTGTCTGTCTGTCTGGGGGCCGGGCGAGCGCAGACGCAGTTCCGGGGGGCTGTGGAGGGGCGGTTCGGGGGGCCCCGAGGTCGGCCGGGGTGGGCAGCCCGGCCCTCGCCACTGACGCCCTCCCCACCCCCGCCCCCGCAGCGGGCAACGCGGGCATGGCAGCCGCCTACGCCGCCAGGAAGCTGGGCATCCCGTCCACCATCGTCGTGCCCAGCACCACCCCTGCCCTCACCATCGAGCGGCTCAAGAACGAGGGGGCCACGGTCAAGGTGGTGGGGGAGGTGAGTGGCCGCGGGCCCGGCCGGAGGCAGGCGGCGGGGCGGGGCCCCCAGCTCGCCCCGCCCACCTCCTCGTTCTTCCCGCAGTCCCTGGACGAGGCCGTCGACCTGGCCAAGGCGCTGGCCAAGAATAACCCAGGCTGGGTCTACGTCCCTCCCTTTGATGACCCCCTCATCTGGTACGTGGAGACCACGCCCCACGCCCCGCACCCAGGGGACCCGCTGCCCCTCTGCACTGCCGACCGCGCCCTGCAGAGGGCGCGCGCGAGCCCGAACCCCTGGGGCCCGCCTGCTCTGCACTGCCGTCCGCGCCCTGCAGAGGGCGCGCGCGAGCCTGCACTCCAGGGCCCCCGCTACCCCCAACTGCTGACCCCCATGCGCCTGCACCCTAGGGGCTCACCTGCCCCTGCACTGCCGACCGCGCCCTGCAGAGGGCGCACGCGAGCCCGCACTCCTGGGGCCCGCCTGCCCTGCACTGCAGACTGCGCCCTGCAGAGGGCGAGCGAGAGCCTGCACCCCAGGGTCCCGCTACCCCCTACTTCTGACCCCCACGCGCCTGCACCCTAGGGGCCCGCCTGCCGCTGCGCTGCCGATCGCGTCCTGCAGAGGACGCCCGCGAGCCTGCGCCCCTGGGGCCCCGCTACCCTCCACTGCTGACCCCCCATGCGCCTGCACCCTAGGGCCCCCCTGCGCCCTACTGCTGACCCCACGCGCCTGCCGCCTGCCTGCCCTTGCACTGCAGACTGCGCCCTGCAGAGGGCGTGCACGCGCCCGCACCCCAGCCCAGAGTGCGCTCTGTGGGGTGTCCGACAAGGTCCCCCGGAAGCACAGCTGGACAGCAGGCTGCAGCCCGGGAAAGGGGGGCTGCCTGGGCCGGCCCCCCGCCCTGACCCCCGTGCCCGCCTGCAGGGAAGGCCACACCACCTTGGTAAAGGAGCTGAAGGAGACGCTGAAAGTCAAGCCCGGGGCCATCGCGCTGTCGGTGGGCGGCGGGGGCATGCTGTGTGGCGTGGTCCAGGGACTGCAGGAAGTGGGCTGGGGGGACGTGCCCATCATCGCCATGGAGACCATCGGGGCCCACAGCTACCACGCGGCCACCTCGGCCGGCAAGCTCGTCACCCTGCCCCAGATCACCAGGTGAGTAGGGGGTGTCTCCACGGGGAAGGGGGGAGGGAAACAGGCCTTCACCCCTGTCCGGAACCACCCGCCAGTGGTGGGACAGAATCCACATGTGAGGCTCTGCAAGGAAAGAGTGTCATGGTCATGCTGGGGGAGGGGGGGCATCACGTGACCCCTGCAGCTGGGCTCTCGGCCGGATGCGTCGCCTCCCACACCTAAGGGGGCTTGGCAGGTGCAGGGACCCAGCTGCTCCCGAGTTGTAAAGAGATGCCGCGTCTGCTCCCAAGAGCCCATTTCCAGACCTTCGACAGATGGCGTTTGATTAGGATTTGGTGTGTCCACATTACATGGGAGCCCAGAATGAGTGACTTTAACGAGACTGAACCTTCTTCTCTTAAGTGAAAAAATAATGATGAAATCTAGAGTCAGGCCATCCAGGGCCAGACTCCTTGTGGCCCAGAGTGGCTGCTGATGTGCCAGCTGTCACATCCACACTCCATCAGGCAGGAAGGAGAAAACCAGGGCGGAAGCGAGGCCCCCTCCCTCTATAGACAGACAGCATGTTCCCTTCCCTCACCTGGCCACAGTGACCCCGAGGGAGGCTGGGGAGTGCCTTGCTGCTCCGAGAGACCTTGGGCGAGTCTCGGCCCCAGGGAGAAGCCTGGGCTCTCTGTGGGAAGTTCTGGGTTCCTGAGGGCCGCCTTGGACCCCCTGCACTGCTGGTCTCTGACCCAGTCCAGCTGGAATCCTGTTGGGCCCTGCACTGGGCCGTGCCCATGAGGTCAGCCCCCAAATGCCCTTGTGTGAGGCTGGCTGGGATCAGACGGGACTGAGCACTGCTTATGACCACAGGGCTGGACTTTTTTTTTTTTTTTTTTTGCTTTTTGGGTCACACCCGGCGATGCACAGGGGTTACTCCTGGCTCATGCACTCAGGAATCGCTCCTGGCAGTGCTTGGGGGACCATATGGGATGCTGGGAATTGAACCTGGGTCGGCAGCGTGCAAGGCAAACGCCCTACCTGCTGTGCTATTGCTCCAACCCCAGGGTTGGACTTAATGTGGGTCCTGCTTGGTCCCGGCAGTCACAGCCGGGCATGTGACCTCGCTGCCGTGGTTTCCCCTGATGACCTGGGGTTCTTGGCTCCTACCACCTTCTCAAGAAGGAGTCCCTGTCTTTGGTGCTATTTGAGACAGCTACCAGAGCCAGAGTATCCCTCCTGGAGGGCTTCTTGGAGGAGGTGACCTTCATCCCGTGCCTTGAACAGGCAGATGCGGTAGAGGAGAGGCAGGAGGGCGTTAAGCTGAGTGAGAGGCTCAGCGGGTGGAGGTGGCACCCTGGAGCCCAGGTGTGGAACCCAACAAGGCACCAGCTGTCCAAGAGAAATGGGGCCGCCTACCCCTAGCAGCCTCTGCGCCCCCGAGCAGAGGCCGGCTCCCTCCCACCAACCCTCCCCCCTTCCCTTCTCCCTGCTGCGTCCAGCGTGGCCAAAGCCCTGGGCGTGAGGACCGTGGGGGCGCAGGCCCTGAAGCTGTTCCAGGAGCACCCCATTTTCTCTGAGATCGTCTCCGACCAGGAGGCTGTGACCGCCATTGAGAAGTTTGTGGGTAGGTGCCGGCTGCGCGGCTCCCCGCCCTCACCCCCGGAGGGCCGCGTGCATGCAAGAGCCCCTGCTCGGTCTTCCGCACGGCATGGTCCCCTGAGCACTGTGCTGGGAGCAGGTCCCCACCCCCAAACCAGGAAATAGCCGAGAGCGCTTCGGATGCTGGCTGTGAGCTTCCGGATAGCTGGGATGGGAGAGGAAAGGAAACGGCCTGCGGACCCACGGGCGGGTCTGAAATTCGGGGGGGGGGGGGCAGTGGGGCTTCATGCAGCATCACACACACACACACACACACACACACACACACAGTCACTCTGTCTCACACCCTCACGCACACAGACACGCGCACGCACAGTCACACGGACCCCCACACTCCTGCACCCATGTCCTCATATGCACGGACCCTCTCACCCTCTCACACGTACACGCAGCCTCACACGGACTCCCACACGCTCTCGCACATCTTCACACGCTGGTACACGTGAGTGTCCTCTCCCCTCCATCAGTCTACGGGGCGGCCCAGCACCCCCTGGGACGTAAGGGTCAGCGCTCGGGGTGGCTCGGGGCCTGGGGGGGGCCGGGTGGGAGTCTGGTGGGCCAGGGCCCGCGACCCTCACCGGCCCCTCCCTGCAGACGACGAGAAGATCCTGGTGGAGCCGGCGTGCGGCGCGGCGCTGGCGGCCGTCTACAGCCGCGTGGTGCAGAAGTTGCAGGGCGAGGGGAAACTGCGCACGCCCCTGTCCTCGCTGGTGGTCATCATCTGCGGCGGCAGCAACATTAGCCTGGCCCAGCTGCAGGCCCTCAAGGAGCAGCTGGGCCTGAGCAACGGGCCGGCCAAGTGAGCCTTGCCGGCCGGGCTGGCCCTTGACACCTCCTGCCGCCGTGGGGGAGGCCTCGGTCCCCCTCCCTCACCCCCTCCCCGGGGGCTGGGAGTCAGCGGCCGGCTGCACTCGGAACTCTGGGACCACCCAGTGACTGTCCTGTCCCCCTGCTGAGTGGACGGCACCCCCTCCCCCCGCACATCCAGGTGTGGGCCTCAGGGAGGGGCCCGATGAGACGACGGCTGCAGGGGGGGGCCCCAGTGAGGTGGACAGGGCAGGGGGCCCCTTGTCCCTCCTCCCAGGAAGCCCGCCTCCCCCCCCCGCCCTCGTTTTTCTAATGTGCAGACTTTTTCATTGACAAAGAAAAATAATATATTTATGCAATGAGAAGCTTGGAGTCTCTCCGTGGCGGCCCCTGGCCTCCCCCTCTTCCCCTCCCCTTCCCCCTGCCTGCGGTCAGCCCTGGCTCCGGCAGTGAGTGCCCCCCTCCCCTCCCCTCAGCCTGGTGTGAGCATGTGAGCACTGAGTGCCCGGCCCAAGGCCAACAGTGTGTTCCAAAACGAAAAGACCCTCGGACAAGACCTGGGGACAGCGGGCACTTGGTATCTGAGGAATGGACGGACAGACGGCTGGAGGGGGCACAGGCGGCGACTGGATGGAGATATGGGTGGACGATGGACAAGGCAGTTGGATGGATAGGTGGAGGATAACGGACACCCGATGCATGGCTGACCGGGTGGATGACGTGTGGCAGCACGGGAGGGGTGTGGCTGCGTGAGGTTGACGGGCGGTGCATGCCACACAGGTGGAGGTGGCAGGCGACTGATGGACACACAGATGTGTAGGTATGTAGACACACATGCATGTAGGTATGCAGAACCCATGTCCCAGAGTGTCCCGTTCCCTCCAGAAAGCACAGCACAGGGCTACGGCCTCTCCTTTAATGGCGGCACAGTCTGCGACTCAGTGGGCACTGCCCGAGGCCAGGGCAGGTCCTGATGGGGGGCCAGAGGGCGTGAGGCTGGACACGGGGGCAGACACACCTGTCCGCCCCCAGGGAGAGAAGGCCACTCAAGCCCCCCCCACACCAGTTGCCAGAAACTTTGGTTTGTGTTTGTTGTCAAGCTCCTGTCCTTAGGAAGCTGACGGGAGCGGGGGTCCCGCTATCCCGGGGGTGGGTGGGCTCAGAGGAATGAGGCCTTAGAGAAGCAGCGCCCAAGTCTGGGGGCTGATGCCCGCCACCCACTGCAGGACCGCAGCAGGGAGACAGGGACCAGCTCCTCTGCCCCGCTGGGACCCAGAGCAGGGCCAGGGCCCTTCTCAAGGCCTCAGAGTGAAGACCGGGTCCGGAGGGTGGAGAGACAAAGCAGGGAGGGAGAGGAGAGGAGGAGGGAGGCAGACTCGGGGTAGTACTCACCCATCTGGGGGAGACATCTCTGACCCCCCTGGGTTCCGAGCCCACCCGTAAGAGAGAGCCCTGAGGAAGGTGAACCTGGCAGACCCAGGGGCCAGCTAGACAGAGCAGGGCGCAAAATCCATGGGGCCTGGGGGAGGGCGGGAGGAGGGATTGAAGCCCTGGGGGGTGGACCCAGGGGTGGAGTCAAACCCAGAGGCGGGGCTAGAGCCTGGGGCGGAGCCAACCCGAGGCGGGGCCAAGACCCAGGGGCGGAGCTAAGGCTCCAGGGCGGGGCCAAGGCCCTGGGCGGAGCTAAAGCTTGAGGGCGGGGCTAAAACCCGGGGGCGGAGCTAAAGCTTGAGGGCGGGGCTCCACCCTGGAGGTGGGCCGGGACGGGGCGAGGCCGGAGACTCGTGGGTGGCGGAGTGGCCCAGGCAGTCTCTGGCTCAGTCCCACACGACCTCCACTGGCATGAACTTCCAGAGGTCGGGCTGGCCCATGTGCAGCAGGTGACCGAAGGCCGAGGTGCTCCACTGGAACGGGGGCACCTGGTCCCACGTCGGGCCGCTGACGGCCACCATGCGTAGGTTCTGGGCCAGGCCCATGCTAGTCACCTGGGGGGTCACGTGGGGGCAGGGCGTGAGTGCCAGCCGGACCCCCGGGGCCCACCCTGCCCTGGGGCTGAGTGCCCACCTTGGTGTCGATGCCCCCGTGCAGGCGCTGCTGCAGGGCCTGGAAGGGGTAGGAGCCGTTGGGCTGGTTGAGGTCCGAGCGGGCCGAGATGGCGTTCTCAGCGTTGGGCTGCGGGGTGCAGTTGCTGCAGAGCGACAGCGGGTCGTGCAGGTAATTGTTGTACCTGGGGGCGGGGTGGGGGCCACGGTCATGCTGGGAAGAGGGAAGGGGGCCGCAGCCACAGTCCAGGCTGCTGCGTCTGGGCGCAGTGTTTCCCACAGTGGGCCGGGAAGGAGCACTGGACCCACCCGGGGTCCAGCAGGGTCCTAAGGTGCACTGGGGGGTGGGGAGTGTGGCAAACTCTATTCACTTTTTTTTTCCTTTTTGGGTCACACCGGGTGATGCTCAAGGGTCACTCCTGGCTCTGCCCTCAGGAATCACTCCTGGTGGTGCTCAGGGGACCATATGGGATGCTGGGAATTGAACCCGGGTCGGCCGTGTGCAAGGCAAACACCCTACCCACTGTGCGATCACTCCAGCCCCTCTATTCACTTTTTAAAGAAGGTAGAATTCCAGGGGGCACAGAAGAATTTTTATCTCAAGAGAGGGCGGTAGGCAGGATCAGTCTGGGAGTCTCTGCTCTAGAGCTCTGACTAGGAACCCCCTCCAGGAAGTCCTCCAGGCCTCACACAAGCGGCTGGTCACTGGGGTCCCGCGGGGGTGTCTGCATCTCCCTAAGAACAGTGGTGCCTGTTTTGCTAGTGCCTCGTGGCACTGAGGCAGCCTCACCAGTCACATGGGGACGGGGATGAGGGTCAGGGTGAGAGCACTGAGTCACGTGGCAGGGCGCACGGGGCCGGCGCTCACCTGAGGAGCCGGAGCATGGAGGACACGTCCTGCACGGTGCAGTGGTCCCGCCGGAAGATCTGGGCGCGCGGGTTCCTGTCGTAGGAGAACCAGTCGCCATAGAGGGTCACGAGGTCCTGCAGCCCGCTGGCATTGAACACGGTCTCGAAGGCCCTGCAGGGAACGGGTGGTCACTCCTGGCCCCAACACAGCCGCCGGTGCCCGGAGCACGGGCCAGGGTCGGGCCGGGAGCACAGCGCTGAGCTCTGGGGTCCCACAGGGTTTTCATCCAGCCTCAGCCCGCTGAGGGGGAGCCCGGGGATGTGAGTCAGGGGACAGCTATGAGGTGGCCGGGGAGGGTGGGAACCCCCGACGGGCCAAGCTGGACCCCAGCTATCTGGGGTGTGTGCCAGAGGGGGCAGGGAGGGGTCCTTTAGTCTAGGAGCGGACATCCCTGGGGGCGGGAAGGGGCCACCCACAGGTGACTGGGAGAGGGCAGAGGCCATGGGCGTGGGAGGGGGTGGCCCCCGGTAGGCATGGGGTGTGGGGGGGGATGGACCAAGGTCGGCGGGGACTGTGGGGGTGGCTCTGGGTGGGCGGGGGCTGTGGGGGGTGGTCCTGGGCACGTACGGGATGTTGTAGCTGGCCCAGTAGGTCTCGTTGTAGAGCTGTGCGGTCCTGTCGGCCACGAGCACCATGCCCCTGCGGCAGAGGGCAGAGGGCCAGGCGTGGGCACGGCGCTGATCAGAAGCCTGGGGGTGCCCATGGCTGGGGGGGGAGACAGCTGGCGGTGCCCGGGCCCCTCTCCCGGCTACTCACGGGAGCTGCTCGAGGACGGTGAGCAGCCCACCCCGGGGCCTGTCCGAGCCGGGCACAAAGGCCTTGTAGTCCACGATCATCCACTGGTTGTTGTACCTGTGGGCGCAGGAGCCGAGGGGTGGGTGGGCTGGGCGCATGCGGGGTGGGGGGGGGCAGCTCCCAACCCGCCCCCGTGGCACAACCCCGACCAGCACCCCAGGGCTCACCCCGATCGCCTGGCCCCGGCTGCCATCAGGGCCAGCCACAGGGCCCCCACTCTGGCTCTCGGGGCCCCAGCAGCCCTCCAGACCCTCGAGGCCCAAGTCCTCCGTCCATCCTTGGGGCCCCTCCCTAGCAGAGGGGCGTGTCTGTCCGGGGACAAGGGGCTGGTGGGAAGTGGCCCACGACCAGGCTGTGCGGCCCGCCAGGGCCACTCACGTGCCACTGTTGAAATTCTTGAAGATGTCCGCCCAGGACGGCCCGTCGACGGCCAGCCGGTTGGCCACCATGCTGCGGAGCCACTCGAGCACCGAGCCCCGGGGCTGCACCAACCGCCACAGGTCCGGGTTCCTGTTGCCGATGGTCGTCTCCAGGGTCACCTGCCGGGCGGGCGGGGCTGCAGGAGGCCGGGCACTGCTGGAGCACCCGCCCGCGCCCACGGGGCCCTGACCCCGAGTCCCGCTCCTCCGGGCCCCTGGGGAGCGGGGCAGGAGGGTTCCGGCACAGGGACAGCCCGGCACCCTGACCGCCCGTCCCCCGCAGCCTGGAGGCTGTCCGCAAGCCTGACTGACGAGAAGCTGCTGGCACGCAGGGCACAGACGCCCTCCCACCCCCCAGCACTGGAGCCGGGTGGCACCCCAAGGGAAGAGCTGGACACAGAGAGACGCTGCAGGAGTCACCCTCAGGTCTAAGAGACGCACTGGGACAGCAGCCACCCACAGCCGGGCCTGCGCTCCTGCGGCTTACTCCTCCCTCCACTGGCAGGGCCCAGATCACACCTGCGCCAGGGCTCACACCTGCACCAGGACACACACCTGTGCCAGCATCACACCTGCACCAGGACACACACCTGAGCAGCACCTCACCTGCGCCAGCATCACTCTAGTGCCAGCACCATACCTGTGCCATCATAACTCCTGCACCAGGCACACACCTGCGACAGCATCACACCTGCCCCAAGACTCACAACTGCACCAGGATTCACACCTGCACCAGCACCACACTTGTGCTAAGACACACACTTGCACCAGCATCACACATGCACCAGGACTCACACCTGTGACAGCATCACACCTGAGCCAGCGTCACAATTGTGCCAGCGTCACACCTGCCAGGCCTCTAAAGCCCTGAGGGCAGCCAGGAACTAGGCCAGGAAGTGCTGTGACCTCTGGGTCCCACTCTGGGTCCCCTCCCGCACGGCACAGGGGACACACAGCCTGCGTCTCTAGCAGCACCTGGCACAACCCCTGCCACCCTTACAACGATCCTACAAGCTGGGAGTCCCCACATCCCCCCCATCCCCGGGAGGTGCTAGGACTCCGCTGGGTGGCGACTGCGGCTGGCTGGTGGACCCCAAGGCCAAGGGGGCATTTGCTCCTGGGACCACTCAAGGACTCAGGCTGATACGGACTGCCTCGCCAAGCCCTCTTTGGAGCCACGCTCCAGCAGGGAGGAGAGAGAGGAGGAGCGGGAGGAGGGGGAAGAGGAGAGGAGGAGGAGGAGGAGGAAGAAGAGAAATCACCTCCGGGCTGTATCCGGGCGCCACCCCACCCCCACCTCCTGAGACGCCCCAGATCAGAACAGAAAACAGAAGCGCGGCCACTCCCCCCCACGCCAGGCTTTGTGGGCACCGATGGTTGCTCCGTGCCGCGGGTTGCCCGGGCAATGCTGGGCCTGGGAGAGCCCTCTGGAGTCTGGGCAGCGGCCAGGAAAGCGGGGCGACCGGCACTGTCGGGAGCGCTCCTCCAGACGCAGGGAGGGCACAGCCGGCCACTGCCCCAGGCCGGGCACTCACCAGCTGCCTGTTTGTGATGTAGAAGTCATCGCAGGAGAAGAGAGTGCCAGGGTAGGACGAGAAGACCAGCGTGTTGCCAGGAACCAGGGGAGAGTCCTCTGCGGGGGGACGATTGCCATCAGACCAACCCCAGGGGCCCCTACCCAACCTAGGACGGAGGCGTCTGGTCATTCGGCTCAGCCCTGGGTAGCCGCCAGACCCCCACGGCAGACTGAGCCTCTCTGAGCCTCAGTTTCCCGAGCAGCAAGATGGGACCAATCGACTCTCACTCCCACTAAGTGGGGAAGGGGGAGCCCAGGGCGGAGATAGATCCCAAGGGACTTTCACTCCTCAGAGTGTGTGTGGGGGGGGGGAGGGGTGCGGGGGGCACAGCTGGCGGCTCAGGGTTAACCCCGGCTCTGGGGGCGCCTGCGGGACCCTATAACGTCCTAGAACTGGGGTGGCCTGGCCTCCCGCTCTGGATCTCCTGACCCTCCACGTTCTGTTCTTGGTTCGGATGCCGACTCCTGGCTCTGCACTCAGAAATTACTCCCAGTGGGCTCAGGGGACCCTATGGAACGCCGGGGATAGAATCCCGCAGTACTAGGGCTCAGGCCCCAGTGTCTGCTAATACCCTTCAAGTGAGCACTGCCAGGGCTGGAGCGACAGCAGAGCGGGAAGGGCGTTTGCCTTGCACGCGGCCCGACCTGGGTTCGATCCCCGGCATCCCATATGGTCCCCTGAGCACCGCCAGGAGTGACTCCTGAGTGCAGAGCCAGGAGTAACCTCTGAGCATCACTGGGTGGGACCCCCCTCCCAAAAAAAAGGAAGTGAGCACTGCCGAGGGGAACGGGGCCCCTGTCACCTCTGAGCAGGACCGGCAAGACGCCCTCAGACCCCTGAACGGGACCAGGGTGTCAGCTGGCTGAGAACTGCCGGGGCGGGGCCCAGGCACCCCGTAGAGGAAGGGAAGCCCAGACTGAGAGGAGGCAGCTGCACCCCCCCCCGTGCCCACGCACCTCGGGGGCCCTCCCGGAAGGAGAAGTGGTACTTCTTGATGACGCGCAGCATGTGCTGGTAGGAGCTCCAGGTATTGTGGGCCACCAGCAGGTCCCGGCGGCCTGGCAGCAGCTTGATGAGCGCTGAGCAGGAGCCCGAGCCCAGCACGCGCTGGGTCCGCGTCTTGTTCAGCGCCACCTCCAAGTCCTCCAGGTCCCCCGAGATCTGCAGCAGGCTGCGGGGGGGGGGGGGGGGGCGGGGGGGAAAGGGGTGGGCAGGCAGGGGTCAGCGCTGTCGCACCACTCACCCCGGGGGGGGGGGGCCCTTCCCTGCCCGCCCCGCCGGCCACTCACAGGAACCCCAAGGGCTTGAGGAAGAACTTTCCCGTGGGGAACCTCACGCTGCCCGCGTAGCTGTCCTCCAGGCCCTTCAGCTGCAGCAGGATCAGCTGCACCTGGGGACAGAGACACCCGGTGAGGACAAGCCCGGCCCGCCCCAGCTCCCCCTGACCCCACCCCTCCAGCTGTGTGTCCCCACTTGTGCTGACTCCAAGCCACCTCTGACAGCCCCGCTCAAAGCCACCTCCCCTCCCCTGAAAGCCTCCAGGCCTGCCTCTCTTGACAAGTCCCAGTTGGGAGTCCAGCCTTGGCAGCCGCGCAGCCGCAAAGGGCACCTGTTCGAGCCTGGCCTTCTCCCCTTTGGCCATTGGTTTGTGACCAGAGAGTATCACCACTGTGCTTCCCACTGGGCCTAACCATCTGCGGGAGGGGGAGGGGATGGAGAAAGGAGGGAGGGAGGGAGGGAGGGATGACGGCTGGGTGGGTGGATAGGAAGGGAGGGATGGTCGGATGAACAGACAGACAAATGGGTGGGTGGATGGGTGGATGGATGGGTGGGTGGATGGATGAGTCGGTGGGTGGGTGGACGGATGGATGGGTGGATGGATGGATGAGTGGGTGGGTGGATGAGTGGATGGATGAATTGGTGGGTGGATGGATGGGTGAGTGGATGGATGGATGGGTGGATGAATGGGTGGATGGGTGGATGGATGGATGAGTGGGTGGATAGATGAGTGGGTGGGTGGATGGGTGGGTAAATGGGTAGATGGTATAGGATGGGTGGATACTGGACATGTGGGTGGATGGATAGGTAGGCGAATTGGTGAACAGATGGGTGGACGCGATGGACAGATGGACAGAGGGGCAGATCGTGGATGAACAGACACAGGTGACTGGATGGACGGGCGACGGCTGGTACATAAACAGACGGGCTGTGGGCAGACAGGTGGGACACTGGGTGGGTGGCGGACGGATGGGCCATGGGTGCATGGGCGACTGGCAGACGGGGGGGTGGGTAGGTGGACAGGTAAAGAAGCGCGGAGAAGCAAAGGGGAAACGGTGACCGCGACAGACACAAGCCGGGCGCCCGGGCAGCCCCACCTGGTGCCAGTACACGGAGGCCTCCTGCAGGTTCATCATCTCCTGCATCCACACCAGGTTGATGTCCAGGAAGCGCTTGAGCTTCTCGCAGTAATCGACTTCGTACTCGAAGGGGCCGCAGTAATTCACCACCGTGTTCATCCAGTGCATGTAGATAAGCTGGGGGCAGGGCAGGGGGCTGGGCGGAGGGCGGCGGGTGCTGCGCCCACCCCGGCTCGCGCTGCTCACCCCTCTGCTCCCCCCTCCTCCGGGCACCGCCCACGGAGCCTGTGCCAGGCCAGGCGCGCTGGTGACATGGCCGGAGACAGGACAGTGTCACGGCCCCCACGGACTGCCCTCTTGGTGCGACGCCGCATCCCCCAGAGCACGTGACAGATTTTTTACCCGCGTCAAATTGTACCTAGCATACTTGGGGGAGCGCGGGGCGGGGGGTGGGCGGGTGCTGGGACTCGAACCCAGAGCCTCGCGGGAAAGACACAAGCTCAGCCACTTGCAACCCCACCCCCCCGCCCTAATGCATGACACTTTTCATTTATTTGCAAAATAATGGTTACTGAAAGGAAACTGAGAAACGTGAAGAGTGAGAGTCAGAGAGAGACAGAGAGTCAGCGAGAACACAAGCTTCTCCAGGCAGGAAAAAACCCCCAGGGCACTTAAAATGACAGATGACTGGCTGTTTTTTTCTGGGGGGACACGCAGCAGTGCCTGAGGCCTGCTCTGTGCTCAAGGGTCGCCTGGGGTGCAACAGGGGCCAAGGCAGTGCAGGGCTGGGGCCAGGCCCCCCGCGTGCAGAATCTACACGTGCACTCACCCTTGAGCCACCTTCCCGGCCCTTCAGGGGAAAGTCTGGGACACACGCAGGCAAGCCTCTCCCTGCCATGGCCCCCTCCCCCCATCCCGGGCGCACGCTCTCGCTCACCTCCTGGGATACGGAGGCCTCCACCACCCCCGCGGCGTAGGCCTGCAGGCTGTCGTTGAAGCGGCCATTCGTGTGCACCTCCAGCAGGGCCCACCTGAGGGGCGGCAGGCGGGTCAGCGGGGTGGCACTGCCCGCGCCCTGGCTTCACCTCGGGGGGCGTCTCCTGACCATTACAGCTCGCAGCACGGGGAGCCTGTCTGGGGGCTGTGGGGGCTTGCTGGGGGCAGGACCCCCTCACCCATCGACACAGTCTCCATGCACCAGCTCCGGAACATTCCGTCCCAGGTGACGTGGGGACCGCGCGCCCACGTCACCTATAGCATAATGGGAAGAGCGGGGGGTGACATGGGCGTGCGGGAGGGGCCACTCACGCCAGGTCGCAGGGGCGGGAAGGAAAGACACGGAGATCGGAGGCACCAATGCCAAGAGAATGGCAGGGAGGGTGCTGGCCTCGCATGCACGACAGACCCGGGTTCGATCCCCGACATCCCACAGGGCCCCCCGAGCATCACTGAGGAGTGATTCCTGAGTGCAGAGCCAGGAGCGAGCCCTGGGTGTGCCCACGCCCCAACAAAAGTTGGAAAAATAAATCAACTCCTGCCCTCCAGGGCCAGATTGACAGTACAGCAGGGAGGGAGCTGGCCTTGCAGGTGGCCAATGAGGTTCGATCCCCGGCACCATCGAGGGTCCCCCAACACCACCAGGAGTGAGCCGAGCGCTGAGTCGGCAGGAAGACCTGAGGACCGCCAAGTGGGGGTCCCAAAGCACAAGTAAGTTTACAAATAAAATCCTGACCTCCAACCTTCAACACGGGACAGCGCGACAGAGCAGAGACCCTGCTGGCGGGGACAGGAGCCCCCAAATGCCTCCTTGCCCCAGTCCTGCTGGGGTTTCCGTGCCCCCATGCCCCCCCCGTGCCCTCCCCCACCATCACCCCCACGCCCAGGGCCCGTGGAGTGTAGGGGAGGGAGGGGAGGGGCCTGCACAGCAAAGCAGCCTGAAGAGAGAGGAGAAAGCCGGAGGGGTGGGAGAGCCCTGGGCTCACGGCACAGGCCTCAGTTTCCCAGGGCATAAAACGGGCTGAGGACATCTGCTCTGTCTTCATGCCGCGAAAGAATGAACATAGGGTAGGGGGTTTCTGGGACCTCCTCTCCTATTTCAGGGGAGCAAGAAGCTCAGAGAGGGGAAGCAAGCTGCCCAAGGTCACACCGCAGAGGGACTGAGCCCAAATTACAGCAAGGGAACTTCCTCCTGACTCTCTAAGGGAGGGTCCAGGCATCCACCTGAGCCCAGGGCCGCCTGACACTGGCCGGGCCTGCCCTCTGGGCTGCTTTCCTGGCTGGCACTGGGCAGGCCCTCTGAGCTCTGCTCGGCGGGGTGTGAGTCAGCAGGGTGCTGGTCTAGGGGCAGGCAAGAGTGGTACCCATCCCTGTGGCCTCCTCTCCCTGGGAGTCTTCCTGGATCAGCCCCACCAGGCTCCCCCAGCTCCAGAAAGGCCTTCCTCCCAAGACGGGATCTGCGTGACACCCAAGTGCCACCAAGCGCCAGAACGGGGGTGGCCCCCGCCGTGGACGCTCACGGGCAAGCGGGACGGGCCAGGCCTGGCGCGGGGACTGTGGATTCTAAGCCCCGGGACACGCTCCCAGGGGACGGGGCTAAGGGGCCGCAGAGACGCCCAGCCTGCAGGTCCCGGGGAGGTGCTGGCAATAGGCGGGGACAAACGTCCTCGCCTGTCCCTTCTGCGTCCCCCGGACAGGCCCCCGCTTCCGCCTCGGGACCCAAGGCCCAAGGGGTGAGCGAGGAGGGCCCAGAGAGGCCCCCCCAGCCTCCTGGCAGGGGTGCAGGCACGAGCGGGGTGGCCCGCGGGGAGCGGCAGTCGGGGGTCCGGCCTGGGCATGCAGCTGGCGAGGCCAGGGGGCCCGGGGGCCCGGGTGAGTCTCGGACACACGCCCCTTCCTGGCCCGGCCGGACCCCGCGGGCTGCCCGCGACGAGGCTGGGCCAGGAAGGCGGGCCTGGGTCCCCGCGGGGCGCCGAGCGGGGGTCGCCCGGGCCGCCCGCCAGGAGCCCCCGGCCCGCCCCCGGCCCGCCCCCGCCGGGCAGCTGCGCCACCTCCCGGGGTCGGCGCGGGGCGGGGCGGGGCGTCCGGCCAACCCTCACCCCGTCTCGCGGATGGCGTTGGTGAGGTTCGCCCAGGCCACGGCCTCGGGGGCGCGGCCGTCCACCACCTTCAGCTGCCCGCTCTGCTCGTCCAGGACCACCGAGCGGCTGCGGGAGGCCTCCGCGAACTGCGCGCGCCCCGAGCCGGGCGGCGGGGTCGGGATCGCGCCCGCCAGGCCGCTCAGCAACAGCCCGGCCGCCACGGCCAGCAGCGCCGGGGCCAGCGCCAGCGGCCGCCTCGGGGCCCGGCACGGCCGCCGGCCCGCGGAGCCGGACAGCGCGGCCGCCATGACGCCGCGCAGCCGGGCGCTACGGCCGCTCACGTGACGCGCGCCGCGAGGGGCGGGGCCGCGCCGGACTTCCGGGTGGGCGGGGCCTGGCCGCGGCCGGCGGGCGGGTGGGCGGGCCCGCGCGGATCCCCGCCCCCCCGGTGGGCGGGGCCTGGAGCACTTCGGGGGCGGGGCCGTTCTTAAAGGGCCTCGCCAGGTCGGTGCAGTTGGGCTAACGAATAGGTCTCACGCAGAGGGGTGTGTGTGTGTGTGTGTCTGTCTGTCTGTCTGTGTCTATGTCTCTGTCTGTGTGCACACCCAGTGCTCTAGGCTGAATTCTGGCTCAGCACTCAAGAATGACTTACTGTTAGAAAAGATGAAGTCATGAAATTTACATACGAGTGGTACAACATGGAAAGTATCATGCTAAGCGAAATGAGTCAGAAAGAGAGGGATAGACATAGAAAGATTGCATTCATCTGGGGGATATAAAGTAACAAAATATGAGATTAATACCCAAGAATAGCTGAGATCAGCACCAGGAGGATTACTCCATAGCTTAGTGGCCAGTCGGGCATTCTAGAGGAAAGGGCAGCTCAGATAGAGAAGGGAACACCAAATAAAGGGTGTTTGGAGGATCCTCCCAGGAGGGGAGATGCATGTCGAAAGTGGACTATGGACTGAACATGTTTGCCACTCAATGCCTCTTTTGCAGACCACAACACCCAAAAGGAGAGAGAGAACACAGGGGATTGCCCTGCCACAGAGGCAGGGGGGGATGGGGGATGGGGGGTGGGGAGGATATTATCCATGGTGGTGGAAAATGGGCACTGGTGGAGGGATGGGTATCTGATCATTGTATAATCGAAACCCAAGCACAAAAAATTGTAAATCTACAACTGTACCTCATGGTGTTTCACTAATAAAAAAAAATTTAAAAAAAAAAAAAAGAATGACTTACTGGAACCCAAGCACAAAAACTTTTAAGTCCTGGAGCTGGAGCGATAGCACAGCAGGTAGGGCATTTGCCTTGCACGCGGCTGACCTGGGTTCAATTCCCAGCATCCCATATAATCCCCTGCGCACCGCCAGGGGTAATTCCTGAGTGCAGAGACAGGAGTAACCCCTGAGCATCACCAGGTGTGACCCAAAACGCCCAAAAAAAACCCCAAAAACTTGTAAGTCACAACTGTACCTCGTGGTGTTTCACTAATAAAAAATGTAATAAATAAATAAATAAAGTTTTCAACAGGAAAATAAATAAAAGCAGTGTAGCACTGTTCTCCTGTTGTTCAGTCGAGTTGCTCGAGTGGGCCCAGTAACGTCTCTTTTGTGAGACTGTTGTTACTGTGTTTGGCATATTGAATATGCCACGGGTAGCTTGCCAGGCTTTGCTGTGCGGGCGAGATACTCTTGGTAGCTTGCCGGGCTCTTCAAGAGGGGCAGAGGAATTATTTTTTTTAAAATCAATATGCATAGCTGTATTGTTGGACTTACTTCCACAAAATTTCCTGCATAGACTTCTTCCAAAGTGACTTCTAGATCTACAATAACATCACTTCCTCTTGGTATATTTCTGTCTTGTTGACGAGGGTTTCCTCCAAACATGAAACCAAAATCTTTAAAGAAGTGTGAAAATATGTCTCCACGGGAGCTCTAGTACAGCGATAGTACAGCGGGGAGGGCGTTTGCCTTGCGCCCGGCCTACCTGGGTTCGATTCCCAGCATCCCATATGGTCCCCCAAGCACCACCAGGAGTAATTCCTGAGTGCAGAGCCAGGAGTAACCCCTGATCGCCAAAAAGCCAAAAAAAAAAAAAAATAGAATTACTACTGGTGAGGTGGGGGACCATATGGGATGTCAAAGATTTGAACCTAGGTCTGTCTCCTCCACCAACACATATTTATTTTTCATCCTGCCCCACCCCCCTCTGGCCCTGCCATTCCCTGAGCTCCTCTGCTCATTTTGTTGTTGTTGTTATTGTGTTGTTTTGGGGCCACACCCAGGATGTTCAGGCTTTGCACACTGAATCACTCCTAGTGGTGCTCCAGGGACTGTGTGGGCTGCTGCGGATTGAACCCCGCCAGTTGTGTGTAAGGCCAGCATCCTCCCCTCTGGGCTATCACCCCGCCCCTCCTTTGCTCCTTCTGAGCTTCCCTTCCCGTAACTGGCTCCCCTTTCCTACCTGACAGGTGAAAGGTCCCGTTCAAGTGCGCCCCACCCCCAGTCTCCTCCCTCCCCTTGTCCCTTCCGTCCAGGCCACTCAATTCTCTCAGAGCAGCCTGATCAGTGACGTGGTGGTGGCGCCCTGCCGTGTCTGGGAACTCAGAGCATCGGGATTCTGTGACGCCCTGAGCCTCAGTTCTCTGCCCTGTAAAACAGGGACAGTAATAGTACTGACCTATGGGGGCCTGCAGCCCCAGGCCCCACACACGCACTGTCCCCAGGAACCCTCCAGCATGGCCACTTAGAACTGAGCGGCCCCAGCCCCTCCCACTGCCCCTGCGCCAGGCTGCCGGGGTACCCTGTGTTCGTGTGTGTCCAGTGTACAGACCGAACCCACTTGGGATCAGCTGATGCCCCATCATCTGCCCTTCTGGGGAAGTAGCTCCAGATTTGCTGAGTTTGTGGCCAAAGTTCTCCTTCCCTAAGGGGCCTTCACTCTTGTACTCAGAGCCCAGGGCCAAGTGGGTTCTCCTTAGACTCTCCCAGGAACTGACACAAGGGGAGGCGGGGGTGATGTTGGGAGATCCCTGATTGGGGTGTAGGAGTGACAGAAGGGTCCCTGGGGACAGAGAGGGCAGACAGAGGGCCTGGGACATGGCCCCGGGGGGTGGGGGTGGCGCCTGCATCCCAGCCTGGGAAAGGCCATGTCTACAGGGGCGTAAACAAATAAAAAACTTCCTCGGGGGCTGGAGCGACAGCACAGCGGGGTAGGGCGTTTGCCTTGCACGCAGCTGACCGGGGTTCAATCCCCGGCATCCCATATGGTCCCCTGAGCACGGACAGGAGTAATTCCTGAGTGCAGAGCCAGGAGAAACCCCTGTGCGTCGCCAGGTTTGGCCCAAAAAGAAAAAAAAACACACACACACAAAAAACACAAAACAAAACTTCCTCATCTTTGCCTTCACTTATCGTTTTCCCCTTCCCTCCTATTTTTGTTTTGTTTGGGGCCACACCCGGCTCTGTGCTCAGGGGTCACTCCTGAGGGGACTCCGGGAGGCCTACGTGACGCCAGGGGTCAGACTTGTTTCCTCCGCCTCGTCCGGTGCCACAGGTGCTGGGAAATCTTGCAGGTGGATTGTGACGGAGAGGACCCCAGACAGGGACCAGGACAGGTGGCACAGGCCAGGATCCCACAGTTTCAGCTCTGCCCCAGCAAACCAAGAGGCTCAGGGAGGTGGCACTGGGGTGGGGGAGGGGACAGGCCAACGGGAAAGGGCCCATCCCTTCCAGGCCCGTAGTGCCGGCCCCTGCCCACACCCCTCTGGACCAGCCCAGATGCTGTCAACCCCCTTTTGACTAGGGCTTAGAGAGGGGTGGTCACTTTCCCAAGACCCAAGGACCGCCAGGAGCACTGCTGGATGTGGCCTCGGCCCCCCCCACCACAAAAAGGTGCCCTGGGGTTTGTGGATAGGGGGTAGCTGGGCTCAGAACAAGGCCCTGGGGTTAGACACACCTCAGAAGGGCGTTTTGGGCCAGCCCAGAGACGGAAGGGGAGGGCGTCAGCACTGACTTCCCGCTGGGAAATTGGCAAGGTCGAGCTCCTTACTAGGCTACCCGACCTATTTGTGATTTCTGCTTCTAAAGGGACTCGACTGGAGGGAAATGCCAGGCAGTGAAGACACCTCAAGCAGCCCATTTTAGGAACAACAGCGGGAGTATAAGGGGGAGCCCAAGCTGCCCTTCTGGGACTCGACCCCAGGAGCACTTTCACACCATCCCCGAAGAGAAGCCCCATGGCCCACCCACTAACTCCCCTCGCTGGCCTCCTCTGTCTTTACCCAACCAGTTTCACCTCAACTTCTTCTTGAGCGCCCACAGGCAGTGATGGGGAACTGGAGCGCACGTCCAGTGGGAGGATACGTCCCTTGCATGTGGCCGGCCCGGGTCTCCCAAGCCCACAAGGGGTAATCCCTGAGCACAGAACCAGGAGCAACCCCTGAGAACCGCAGGGGGTGGGGCCCCCAAACAACAACGACGAACAAGAATTGGAAATTAAAACAGGCACTGGAGTGACCATAGTAGAGCAAGTAGGGCGTTTGCCTTGCACACAGCCCACCGGGGGTTTAGATCGCCTCACAGGGTCCTCTGAGCACCTCCAGGAGTAATTCCTGAGTGCAGAGCCAGGAGTCAGCCCTGAGCACTGTTTTGGGATCTGGCCCAATAACAAATTCAGCAGAGGGCGGAACCCCCGGCCCGGCCGCCCTCCCTGGGCTGCGGTGCCTTTAAGGAGGGGCGTGGCCACAAGGGGGGCGTGTCCAGGGCGGGGCGGGGCCTGCGGCGGGGCGCGGGGCGAACTCCGGACGCAGCGTCCGTCCGGCGGCGCGGAGGGGCTGGGGCGCGTCGGGGGCCGCGGGGCTGCGGGTTCGAGGCCCGGCCGAGGTAAGGGGCGCCGTTCCGGGTGTCACCCGAGAAGCGTGTCCCGGGTCGGGACTGGGAAACTGAGCGCAGGAATGTTCCAGAGCGCGGGCGCGCGAGGTCAGCGCGACCCCCTGCCCTGCCCCTGCGCCCCTGACCCTCCTCTCCTCTCCGCCCTGCAGATTCCGAGCTCGGGGCGTCCCCGGCCGGCGCCCCCGACACGCGGGCTGACTCTCCAGCGGGGGTCCCGGGGACGCGAGGCTCCATGTCCCGCCGGCTGCTGACCCGGGGCGACCCGCCGGCGTCCGCGCTGTCCAGAGGAGGACCCAGAGCCCCGCGCCCGCGGGTGCCCAAGTGAGGTGGGGAGGGCAGAGCAGGCGGGCAGGTGGAAGGGGGCAGGTACCCTCTGCCGGCCGCGCCCCTGCCCCGCGCCCCCGGGCTTCCCCCTGGCCCAGCCCCGCGCTCCCCGGGGCCTCCCCCGCACCCTCCCCGGGCTTGGCCCCGGCCCTGGCCCTGTCCCCAGTGGGCTGTTGGGAAAGACCATCCCCGAGTTGCAGAAACCGCCCAGCCGCGGCCACCGGCAGGGGAGGAGCCTGTCTGGGGTTTGCTTTTCCCTCCCCCTCCCTCCCCCAGTTTTTATTTGTTTGGAAGGAACCTGGCGCTTTGACCTGGCAAGGAGGGAACTAGGCAGATGCTCACCCGGAGGGGGGGTGGGGGGTGTCTCTCTCTCTCACACACACACACACGCACACACATGCACACACATGCACACACGCACACACCAGTTCTGCTTCTGATCAGCAGGGGACAGTGGAGCAATTCACTTCCCTCTGGCCCTTGATTGCCCCACAGGACAGGGGTGGGGGGCAGGGGGGCAGAGGGGAGGCTGTCCCGCTCTCTCCCCCAGCCCCCTCCTGGGGAGAGCACTGGGGGAGAGGGCCCAGGATGGGCTGAGTGCCAGTGTGCCCTGATGAAGTGGGGATCAGGGCGGACGCCTTCTTGTTCCGTGAGTCCTCGGACAGCTGCCGGCTGCCTCTCTGTGCCGGCTTTTGGTGTTTCCCGCCCTCGGCACTTGCTTCCTGTGCCTTTCGGACTCTTCTGGTCCCAGGAGGCAGAAATCTGGGCGTGGGAATCTCCTTCGGAGTCCTGGCAGTCTTAATTTTTGTTTCATGTTTGGGGGGGGTTTGGACCCCCCAGGCGGTGTCAGGGATTGAACTGGCTGCGTGCAGGGAGGCACCTTCCCCTGTGCTCTGCTCTGACCCACTCCTGGCGCAGGGTGGGGCATGGCCGTGAGGGGTCTGACTCTTCATGGAGGCCTTCAGGGATTGCAGCTGGAAGCCAGGGTGTGGCCCCCAGAAAAAACTGCACAGCCATATCCTGGTGTCTGCCCGGTGGCGGGGAGGGTTCTCCTGCGTTCCTGCGCCAGGTGTCTGTCTAGGGTCACACCTACCTCTGCTCCCCTCCCCCCAGGCCCGAGTTGCCAGCCCCTGGGAGCTGAGACCTGCAGAAGGGGGAGCCGGGGCCGGACCCCGTTGGGCGCACATGGCCAGGTACCTGCAGCAGGTGCCGAGTTTGCTCGGGCTCCTGCTCACGATGGCGGAGACGGTGTCCGGGACCAGCGGTCCGCCGCCGCCAGGGTCCCTGCAGTTCCTGCCCACCAGGGAGAGCCGGATCCCCATGGGAGATGTGAGTATCTGGGCAGGAAGCTGGCATGAGGCAGGGCAGGTGGGATCTCCCAGCCGATGTTTATTGGCAGCTACTGTGTCCTGCCTGAGGACCAAGACAGGGGACCCTGTCCTGGGGCTCCAGGTAAATGTTCTCCGGAGTCTGGAGGGTTCCTGGGCAGGGCTGGGGAACCTCTGAGTCCTGTGACTGCTGGGGCAAATGGCCTGGGGCAGGAGCTCATTGGACACAGGTCTGTTGGCCTGGAGGCTGCCTGGAGGGCTGAGAGGTGAGGGGCAGGAGGTGAGGCCAAGGACTGTTTAGTGGGCTGGAGTGATAGCACAGCGGTAGGGCGTTCGCCTTACAAGCGGCCAACATGGCCGACCCGAGTTCGATTCCTCCGCCCCTCTCGGAGAGCTACCGAGAGTATTCGATATGCCAGACACAGTAACAACAAAGTCTCCAATGGAGACGTTACTGGGACCGCTCGAGCAAATCGACGATCAACGGGAGGGCCTTTAGGGCTGGAGCGATAGCACAGCGGTAGGGCGTTTGCCTTACAAGCGGCCAACATGGCCGACCCGAGTTCGATTCCTCCGCCCCTCTCGGAGAGCCCGGCAAGCTACCGAGAGTATTCGATATGCCAGACACAGTAACAACAAAGTCTCCAATGGAGACGTTACTGGGCCCGCTCGAGCAAATCGACGATCAACGCGAGGGCCTTTACCTTTACCTTTACCAAATTAGAAAAGGCCTCCTGGGCTCAGTCTGGGAGGTGAGATTTGTTCAGAACAGCAGGGCGATGAGACTCTCAGCAGAATCCCAAGTTGATGCACTGGCAGGGGGGCAGGGGAGGGGGGCACCCGCGGGGAGGGTCCGAGTGGCAGGAGCAGGAGGGGCTGGGAGTGCGTGAATGGAACGTGGCAGCTGGGGACCCTTAAGGGACCAGGCCAGTGGGGGGGTACATGGGGAGCCGGCACGCAGGGACCCCTGGGGTGTGGCCAGAGGTGCACTTGGCAGTGGGAGGGGTGGAGCGGGGGTGGGGGGGCGCCCCGCTGAAGGCGGCTGGTCCCTCCGCGGGTGACGGCCTGTCGCCCCCAGTGCCGGGGGGTGTGTGACCTGAACGCGTCGGCTCGCTGCGTCTTCGTGCGCACCAACCCGGACTGCCACAGCCCCGGCGGCTACCTGGACTACCTGGCCGGCATCTTCTGCCACTTTCCCGCACACCTGCTGCCTCTGGCCATCGTCCTTTACGTGAGGCCCCCTGGGCTGGGCTGGGGACGGGTCGGGGGGTGGGGTTTGCGCTGGGCCCGGGGACCCTCACCCCTCCTCTCCATCACCCCGCCAGGCCCTCTGGCTGCTCTACCTGTTCCTGATTCTTGGGGTCACCGCGGCCAAGTTGTAAGTCGGCCTTGGGGCTCCGCTGAGCGCGAGGTGGGGGTGCAGGGCCCCCCTCCCCTGGAGGCTGTCTGCCGCTCTCCGGGTGGCACTCGGGGCTAACTCCTGGCTCTGTGCTTGGGGGTCACTCCTGGCATCGGGGGACCCTCTGGGGTGCCGGGATGGAACCTGGGTGGGCTGTGTGCCAGGAAGCCCCCTCCCCACTGTGCCATGTCTCTGCTCCCCACCCTCCCCCAGCTTCTGCCCGAACTTGTCAGCCATCTGCACCAGCCTCAAGCTGTCCCACAATGTGGCAGTATCCTTTGCCTGGCCCTAAGGGGCTGCAGGGGGCTGGGTGGGCCGTGCCCTGCACCGACCACCCCCTTAACTCGCCCTCCCATGGCGTCACCTTCCTGGCCTTCGGCAACGGGGCCCCCGATATCTTCAGCGCGCTGGTGGCCTTCTCGGACCCGCGCACGGCTGGCCTGGCTGTGGGGGCGCTGTTCGGTAGGCGCGGCTGTGAGGGCGGGTGGGTGGGGAGGGGAGCAGGGGGTGCAGTGTGCTGAGCCCGACCCTTCCCGCAGGCGCCGGCGTGCTGGTCACCACGGTGGTGGCAGGGGGCATCGCCATCCTGCGCCCCTTCACGGCCGCCTCCAGGCCCTTCCTCCGAGACGTCTCCTTCTACCTGGTGGCCACGTTCCTGACCTTCACCGCGTGCTACCTGGGCAAGGTCACGCTGGTCTGGGCCCTGGGTGAGACGGGGCCCGCGAGGGCCAGGGGAGCGGGCAGGGGCTGATGGCGTCAGTGCCACATTGGTGTGTTTCAGGGGTCACCCCCGGCGGTGCCCAGGAGACTGGCTTTGGCACTGGACGGGGGCCAAGCTCCAGCCGTTGGGCTGAGTGACAGCAGAGGGCGCAGGGGGCGACAGGGCGGGGGCCCAGCGACCTCCAGCCCCCCGCCTCAGCTTCCCGAGTTCTCCCTGCGAGGGTCCGCGCTGCTCTGCTCTGGGCTGCGGTGACGCGTGTCCCCTCCGCAGTCTGCCTGGGCCTGTATGCCTTCTACGTGGTCACCGTGGTTCTCTGCACCTGGGCCTATCGCTGGCAGCGGCGGCGAGCGCTGGCCTGCTCCATACCCGGGACCCCAGGTGAGGCCACTCCCCCCCAACGGCCCCCGCCGTGTGCCCCTGCCCCGCTGGCTCCCTGTCCCTCGCGGCGCCGTCACCACTCACGGTCACTCTGCTGCTCACCGCACTCCAGGGCAGCGGGCTGTCTGTCCGTGTATCCGTCCGTCTGTCCGTGCACATGCTTGCGGACACACGCGCACAGAGCACAGAAGCCAGCATTTACGCACGTGGGTTTACACGCCGCAGAGATCCATGTCGCCAACACATGCACACAGACACATCAGAAGTACCCACGGTCACAGATGCACACGTGACACACACACGAGGCCTGCAGCTACACATAGGCACACGCATTCACAGACACGCCGATGGTCACACCGCATATGTGAGCAAACAAATCTGCACACGTGACATGCTCCGTATACACAAGCACATGCCCACACACACTCACAGATAGCACATCACGTACATGCCATGTACATGAACACACGTGCAGGCGCATCCTCACAGATGCGCATATAACATACATCGCCTCATGAACAAACGTAGGTGCACACACAGACACGCAGGCAGCGTAAACGTGGCACATGTGCGCACCCGTTCATAGACCCATATGTACACGCCATGCGCTCACACACAGATCTGCACCCACATGCACAGATGCCCCCCGCATGCAGACTCAGAGCTCATGGTGTGGAGCACATGGGCACGCGTGCAGAGTGGCCCACACGCCTGACACACGGGCACAGGTGCAGGCACTGGTGTGCCACGTGCCCATTCCTGTCCCCAGCCCAGTGGCCACCCCCTCACAAACACACACACACACACACACGTACACACACACACACATCCTCCCCAACACGAATGTGCTTCTGTAAGTCTGCCTGAGGGGGCTGCCTGGCTTAGAGGCTGAGCCTCCACTTGGGCCCCCAGGTGCCCCTCACTGCCTGAGCCCCCTGGTCCTGCCTCAGACAGTGCCAACTGCAGTGTGTTGTACCCCAGGGGGTTCAGGGCATTGTCATCCCCCTCCCCCGCCGAGGGAATATACCGAGATCCTTTGAAAGTTCAGCCAAGGGCCTGGAGCGATAGGCCAGTGGGGAGGGCATTTGCCTAGCATGCAGGAGACCCAGGTTCAATCCCCGGCATCCCATGTGGCCCTCCGAGCCCACCGGGAGCAATCCCTGAGAAATGTCCAGGGTGGACCAAAAAGCAGTAAAGCCCAGCCAAGGTTGGAAATGAACAGATGTGCTGCTACCTCAAGCCTAAACCTGTCCTCTGGCATGGCCACACGGCTCAACAGGGCTCCCCCCCCCCGCCCCTGGCCTCCAGGGCTGCCCAACTCCTGGCCTTGGCGGGGCTGCATGGGGCCGGAGAGGCGGCACGGCCCTCTGTGCTCTGGGCTTCCTGCGCCAGTTTGGTTCCTCAGAGGTGCAGCCCACCCCACCCCATACACACGCGCGCTCACACACACACACACACACACACACACACACACACACACACCCCACAGGTCTCTGGGCCTTTGCAGGATTTGGCTTATCCTTTTGTGGGAAAATTTCAGGGCTCAGACTGGGGGGAAATCTAGAGACCCCTCCCCTCCAGATCCCCCCAGTCCACCCGAGTGATACCTCATTCTGATTTTTTTCTTTGTTTAGCTTTTTGGGTCCCACCCAGCGATGTTCAGGAGTTCCTCCTGGCTCTGCACTCAGGAATCACTCCCGACAGAGCTCGGGGTTCCCTATAGGATGCCGGGGATCGAACCCAAGTCAACCATGTGCAAGGCAAACACCCTCCCTGCTGTGCTATCGCTCCGACCCCTGTACTAATTTTCATATATGCCCACCTGTTGGCCTGTGAATTCCGTTCTGTAGGACCACACTCTGATTTCCAACTTTATGCAGAGGCACCTGCCCCCTACAGGAAGTCTGCCAGGATTTTATTCCTCCTTTGCACACTTTGTCCCTGGGCCTTCAGAGTTCGGTTCTTATCACCCCTGGAGGACTCCCCAGAGGAGGTTCCCGCTGGAAAGGAAGCAGAAGCAGGAGGGGCCCCTGACTCTGCATTCTGCACAGGGTGCTGCAGCCCCTCACAGTCCTCAGGGGCGCAGACATGGGAGGCTCCGGAGGGTGTGGGGGGCTGGGAGACCCCAGCAGCACGGGGCCCACAGAAGTGCACCCACAAGGGGGCCCATGTGACACGCTCACACCCTCTCTCCCCCCAGCAGAGCTGCCGTCCGACTCCGAGGAGGACCCAATGTCCTCCAGCACCTACAGCTCCGACTACTGTGGTGAGTGGGGCCCGCAGGGCGCGGTGGGGAGGGGGCGGCCGCCCACACGCCGTCACACCCGCCTGTGCACGCAGGGGAGGAGTTCCGGCCGATGCTGTTCTACCAGGAGCCCACGGCACGCATCCTGGCCCGCGGCCTCAGCCCCCTGGACAGCAGGACGTGGAGGGCCAAGTCCACCACCTGGAGGGTCCTCAAGGTGCTCAAGGTATGACCAGGCCAGTGCTCGCGATCAGGGGAGGCTCTGAGTTCGGCTGCGGGCCTAGCCCGGGGCTCTGCAGGAGGACGTTGACCCGGAATAGTGCAGGGGGTTGGGGGTTGGACCAGCCCCACCACACACACACACACACACACACACGCACGCATTTGTAGGCAGAGATGGGGGGATCTGGGTGGGGGTGAGGGGCTGGACCAGGGAGCTCAGGGGACTAGGGTGAGAGCTCCGGGCACTGGCCGCCTCGCTGGGCTCTGAGGCAGCCAGGCGCCCCTCCCCCCCCACGCTCCGACAGCTGCCCGTGGAGTTCCTGCTTCTCCTCACTGTCCCCGTGGTGGACCCCGACAAGGATGACCGGAACTGGAAGCGGCCCCTCAACTGCCTGCACCTACTCCTCAGCCCCTTGGTCGTGGTCCTCACCTTGCACTCAGGGACCTGTGAGTGCTCCCCGCCACCTCCTCCCTGCCACCACACTGCCCTTCCCGGCTGTGGAGGGGACACTGCGTATTCAGACCCCCTGGGCCAGCATCTCTGATGGTTGGTCCACCCCGGTCGCCCCTCACAGTCCTCAGGCTCAGTCGCCAGCCTCAGCGTGTAGGGTCATGCTGGGTGGGCCTCTAGGAGGAGGTGGCTGAAGCTGGGTGGTCAGTCCCCTTTGCCCGTTTGCCCCGGCCACAGATGGCGTCTACGAGATCGGGGGCCTCCTGCCTGTCTGGGCCGTGGTGGTGGTCGCAGGCACAGGCTTGGCTACAGTGACCTTCTTCGCCACATCCAACAGTGAACCCCCCCGGCTCCACTTGGTAAGACTCGAGGACCCTGTGACCTTGGCGGGCAGCACGCCGGGCTCCCAGACGGGCCCCCTGCCCTGGTCTCTGGAGCAGCTTGGCCAGCAGGTCCTGGGGGGCATGGCTGGTGTTCCCCGGGGACCCGGGGATGGCTGTGGGCCCGTGAGCAGGTGTGCCCACGCCAGTGCCCACTTTTCCCTTCTCTTTTTGCTCTTGGGCCACTCCCAGCTGTGCCCAGGGCTTACTCCTGCCTCTGCCCAGGGGTCACTTCTGGTGGGCTCAGAGTATGGGGTGCCATCTGGAACCCCGGTCAGCCCCGGTGGGACAGCGAGGGCATGCTGAGGGGCACACAGTTTCTGTTCCTGTTTGGGGGGGCACAGGGCATCGCACCCCATTTCCCTGCAGCGCCCATGGCAGGGAAATGGCGTGAAAGAAACGGGACCCCGACTCCCGCCCTGAGCTCGCCGGCCACGGGCGCTGCACGCTCGGGCCCCCCAGCTCATGCCACCAGGCCCCCACCAAGCCCTGATTCCCCCACAGCTGGGGCCCAGCCTGACCCCCCTCCTCATAGCTGGGGCTGAGCCCTGACCCCCCCCCCACCACACACACACATGCCCTCCCCCCTCAGCTCTGGGCCTTCCTCGGCTTCCTGACCAGCGCGCTGTGGATCAACACGGCCGCCACCGAGGTGGTGAACATCTTGCGGTCCCTGGGCGTGGTCTTCCGGCTGAGCAACACTGTCCTGGGCCTCACCCTGCTGGCCTGGGGCAACAGCATCGGAGGTGACTTGGGGCGGGTGGGGCATCGGGTCCCGCTCTCGGGGGAGGGGCGAGGCACACCCTGCACCCGGGGATCATAGGCCCCCCCACCCCCCGGGCCTCTCCATTCCTTGCTGTGGGAACATCCCGTGGTTTCCAGAGTGCACACAAGGCATGGAGCCCCTCGAGGTGCCCCCCCCCAACTCCCTTCCTGGCTATAGCTGCAGTACGGTTGGCCAGGTTGTACACTGCACAAGAGGGTCCAGACAAGGGTCTGGGGTGGGGAGGAAGGCTACAAGCCTCCGCTTTCGCGCCCTTCGTGGCAGAGAGGGGCTGAGTGCAGCCAACCGGGCTTGCCACGGGCATCGCACCGACCAGGCTGCCTCTGGTGGGAGGCAAAGAGGTGGGCTCCACGGGGTTGGGGTGGGGACTGTCGGGAAGCCCCGGAGGGCCGGGAGCCACCGCCCCCCACGAGCGTCCCCTCCACGCAGACGTCTTCTCGGACTTCACGCTGGCGCGCCAGGGCTACCCGCGGATGGCCTTCTCCGCCTGCTTCGGCGGCATCATCTTCAGTATCCTTCACGGCCGAGAGCCCGGGGTGGGTTCTCCCGGGACTCCCGGGGCCAGTGCTCCAGCCCCCTCAGCCGTCCCCAAGGGGCTGCCCTGGGCCGCCTTCACAGAGAGGCCCCTCTTGTCGGGGTGGGGGGTGCAGAGGCCAGGAAAGCTGGGCTCCCCCTTCCCCCTGGGGCCGTGGGCTCTGTGTGGCGTTTCCTGAGCAGGCCGCAGACATGCTGGTGGGCGTGGGCCTGGGCTGTCTGCTGCAGCTGTCCAGGGGCATCCCGGAGGTGAAGGTGAGTGGCCTGCACCCCCGCTCTCCCGTGGCCTCCGCGTCCCACTGCTCACTGTGTGATGGGGAGTGTCTTAAACAGAGCACAGGGAGTTCCACAGGGAGGCCCCGCCATTCCTGGGACGGGGGGGAGGGGGGGGGCGGGCCACAGTACCAGGGTGACGGGGAGCGCATCTCCGGGCCTTGGTTTTGCCCTCTGTGAAATGGGCCAGTGACCCTCCTGTGCAGGAGTGAAGGACAGGGCAGGTCGTGCGGGAGGCTCGGGGGTGGGCGGTCCAGTGCCCGAGTAGGCGGGAGGAGAGTCGAGGGCCCTGGGCAGACTGTGCTTCCTGACTGGACGGAACAGAGCCCCGGAAGTGCCCTACAGGCCCTGCGTCCCGTGGTGGCCCTGGCTTCACGTGGGCTCAGAGGAGCTGGGTGCAGGCTGGCTCTCGGGCTTGGCAGGGAGACAGGGGCGGGGGCCACAGGGTGCCTTAGTCATGGGGAGTCACACCTGGCAGTGCTCAGGGGACCATATGGGATGCCGGAGATCGAACCTGAGCCAGCCGCGTGCCAGGCAAACTCCCCGCTGCACTATTGCTCGGGCCCAAGGCTTGGCCCTTCCGAGGCAGCCTGCCGTTCCCAGCCCTGTCTGCCGCGTTCCTGCTCTCGTTTCCCACCTAAGGCTGTGGGCAGCTGCCCCCCAGGCCCCTCCCACCCCGGCCCTGTAGCGTGTGTGTGTGTGTGCATGCGTGTAATGTGTCGTGTGTGGGGCTGGCTTGCCTACCTGCCTGCCTGCCGGCTCCAAGAGGCCCTCCTGCCTTCGCTCCTGCACTGGACACAGGCTGTCCTGGGGGACTGTGACCTGGTGACCCTGTCACCGAGAGCCACTTTGCAGAGCTGCTGTACCTGCGAGTGTGTATTCACCTGCCTGAGTGCCTCTTTCTGCGCGCGTGTGTGCATGCACGTGTGAGTGTGTACGCGCGTGCGTGAGCGTGTACACACGTGTATGTCAGGCCCGGATGCTAACCGAAAACAAGGAGGAAACCGAAAGGGTGGGGGTGCCCCATCCACGTCACAGGTTCCGACTGGGGGGGGGGGAGAGAAGGGTCACGGGCAGTTTCGCTTCCTTTCTCTCCTTTCTCGTGTTGTGGCATGTTCTCCGGCACCTGTGTGTGTGTGTGTGGGGGGGGTGTCTGTGTGTGTCTGTGAATTTGTGTACACATGCAACTGTTTTCTCTCGGAAGCGCAGAGCCCACTACCCCAACTCTGATGGGCGGGGGTGGGGGGTGGGGAGGATAAGCTGGTGGGCACCCGGGAGCGGTGACTGGCATCTCAGGCACTGCAGACACAGGGAGCTCTCCGATCCCCACGTGGAGCCCCCCATTTCGCTTGAAGGTTCAGTCAGAACAGTGAGCAGGGCGGGATGCTCAGCCCCCCCTGAGCACCCTCCTCCTCGGCCCATCAACCTCCCAGCTCCTCTGGGGGTGTCTCCCAGTGTGTGGGGGAACCCCCTGCAGGCGCCATGCGGGGTAAACGGGCAGAAACAGGGTGTGCTGGGGCTGGAGCGATAGCACAGCAGGTAGGGCGTTTGCTCTGCACGCGGCCGACCCGGGTTCGATTCCCAGCATCCCACATGGTCCCCTGAGCATCGCCAGGACTCAGCCTTGAGTGCAGAGCCAGGAGGAACCCCTGTGCAAGGCCGGGTGTGACCCAAACAGCAAAAAAGAAAAAAGAAACAGGGTTTGCAAGACCCAAAGGCTTCAGATGGGGGGGTGTGAGGGCCTGGAAGGTTCCCCGCAGGCTGGGAGGTTGGAACGGGGCCCAGGAGGGCTGTGCAGTGACCGTCCCCCCATCCCCTGCAGCTGGAGCCCGAAGGCCTGCTGGTGTGGGTGCTGGCAGGCGCCCTGGGGCTCAGCCTCGTCTGCTCCCTGGTGGCCGTGCCCCTGCGCCACTTCCAGCTGGGCCGCGCCCACGGCTGCTGCATGCTGCTCTTCTACCTGGGCTTCCTGCTGGTGGCGCTGCTCACCGAGTTCGGGGTGATTCGCCCGCGGAGCGTGTGAGCGCCGCCCTGCTGGCCGGGAGGTATCGCTGCGGGCAGCGAAGGCCGGGTCCTTCCCAGGGTGGCCAAGATCCCCCGAGGGTGCGGGTGCGGGGCTGGCCCCCTGGTGCTCCCGCGGCCACCTACCAGCTGCATCTTTACCTTGGGCCCTGAGTGACCACCAGCCCCTGGACTTGGACCAAATGTTTGGAGTCTTGGCTGCCCCGGGAGACAGCAGGACTGCAGCTCTGGACACGTGCGGCGGGAACCTTCCCACTGGGACCTTGGAATTAATGCAACGGATTCTTGCACTGTTGCACGCTGGCCCGTGGCGTGGCCGCGGCTGCCCCCCGCTGCAGACACCTCTCCCTGGACCTGGCTCCCAGCCGCCAGCAGGAGCCCGTCTCTGTGCCTACCTCAGGGGAGCCCGGGCTGGGGGGTCCCGGGCCCTGCCCGCCAGCGCCACCCCCTCCCGGCAGCCTCCGCTGCTCGCTGCCTTGGGCCGCACCTGCCTCTTCTCCAGTGCCAAGTGAGGAAATGCTGCAAGCACCCGGATCGCGCCTGCTCCCTGCTCTCCCGGCACCCTGGGGTCCCTGGCCCCCTCCCCAGCCGGAATCAAGAGGCGCAGCCTGTACAAAGCTGAGGCGCCTTTATTCACGTGCCGGAGTCGCGCCGACGCCGGGTCTCCTGGGTAACAAATCGCCAACGTACAAACCGAAATGCGGCCTGATACAAAATGATAGTCGCGTGCTGAGGAGTAAGGCTGGGGTGGGGGGGAAGCAGGGGGGGCGGACGGGGCCCCCGAAGCGGGTGGGGCAGGGCCCGGTCCCAGGACACCTGGGAGGCGGGAGGGGGCGGGGTGGTGAGCAAGTGTGCTGGCCGGTGTGTGTGGCGGCCCCCCGGCCCTCGGCGCCCCCAGTCTGCCCCGCTCCCTGCCTTCACCCACAGGGGTCCGGTGCCCCCACCCCCACTGCACAGGCCTGCTGCGGGGCAGAGGACGGGCCTCCGTCTGGGGCCAGCACGCCTCCTGCTTCCGAAATGCCCGTTTCACCGCACAAAAGCTAAAAGGCACTGAGTGTGCAAAATGTGGAGCTCCTTGTGGGGGAGCGGAGGGGCCCGGAGCCACAGCCCCCCCGGCCAGGAGCACTGCCCCTGGCTCCCGAGCCCCCCTGGGAATCTCAGTGGTTCTCCTTGCCTCAGTTTCCCCAGAGAGCTGTGCTTTGACAAGAACCCCCAGGGGGCTCTGGGGGGGATGTGGGGGCCCGCTGCGTGCCCCTGGGGTCCGCCATGACTGCGGGGACAGGTGGTGGGTGGGTGGGGGCCCTTCCACGCAGCTGGGGGCTGGAGTGGCCCCTCCACCCTCGGGCCGACTGAGGGGCCCCCGACCCCACCGCGGCTTACCAGCCCTGCCGGAGAGGCCTGCGGCATGTGGGCTCCCCACCCCCCCGCCAGCCCAGTCTGGGTGCTGCCCAGACCCCCGAGGCTGCGCCCTCCTGTCGCCAAGATGGCTAGCGATGAGCTGAGCGATGGGGAGGAGGAAGGCCCCAGCAGGGGTGCAGCCGGGCACGGGTGCCCCCGAGTTGCCCACCCCGCCGGGGCACCCCCTCCTCAGTGGTTTTGTCCCTAAAGCAAGAGCTGAAAGGCCCGAGGCGGGGCTGGCAGGCGGACTGGGTGGGCTGGCGGGGTCCCTGCAGACCCCCAGCATCTGTCCCGGGTGGGGGTGGGCTTCCTGCGTGGCCCCGAGCCCTGCCCACTGAGCCCGTGGCGCGGGGTGGGCCCTGAATGCGCATCTCAGCGCGGAGGTTCTGCGGACGCAGGCGCGGTGCCTTAGGTGATGGTTCTGGCGCGGGGGCGGCCCGGGGGCTGCTGGGGGGCGGCTGGCCCCCCACCGAGCAGGCGCTGCTCCTCCTCCTGCTGCCGGGCGTGCTCCTCGTACCACTCCTAGGGCGCAGGGCGGGCAGGCGTTGGGCGGGTCGCAGGGGGGTCCCCCCCGCAGCCAGAGGGGCGCCAACAGCCCTGCCGGGGTACTCAGTCTCCCGTGAAGGAGACCCACTGCAGTAGCGCCATGAAGGGGCCACGCCCCTCCCCTCTGCTGTGCGCCCCCGACACCCACCCCCCATCCCCACCTGCTTCTACCCTCCACAAGTCAGAGGTCCCGCCACGTCACCCCAGGCTTGCTGCCTGCACCAAGGCTGAAGGAGCATTTTGGGAAACAGCAGGGCGGGCTGAGGACTGGGCACCGTGTGTGTGTGTGTGTGTGTGTGTGTGTGTGTGTTGGAGGCGCAGGTGCCGAACCAGTAAGCCTGAGCACTGCATCAGTAATCCTGCCCCAGGAGGCATAGTCCTCAGTGCCCCAGGACAGCTGGGGATGGCCCGTCTTTTTTAAGCTTACAAAAGGAGGGACGCGCAGATGCTCAGGGGTCGGGCAAGTGCCTCACAGCCCCCTCTGATCCCACATGCGGCCCTGAGCACCACCAGGAGTGAGCACTGCTGCGTGTGGTCCAAATCACAAAACCCCTGCAAAACACCCCCACCATTGGACAGGCAACAGGAGCTCCCTGGTGGGCTGGGGAGCAGACAGGGTGCGGGGAGCCACACGGGACTGGCTATCAGCGTCCTCCCCACTGTGCTCCCCACCGCGGCCCCCACCCGCCTCATTCTTCTGCCCTCATCTGACACGGGCAGGCGAGGGTGGAACTGAAACCCGCACCGAGTGCTCTGACACCCGAATCGTAACCGAGCTTGTGTTTGCATGAGGTGGGACGGTTTCGGTCCCTGGTCCCCGAGGTCCCCTGAGCACAGAATTGGGAGTAACCCCTGAGCATCGCAGGGTGAGGCCCAGAAGCAAAAAAAGGAAAAAAAAGAGAGGGAGGGAGGCCTGAGCCGAGACTGTGCAGGGAACAGACGCTGGTGCAGGGCCGAAGGGCCGTGGGTCAGAGGTCAAGAGTTCCAGGCTGGGACAAGTCAATCACAAAAAAAAGGTCCCAGAAGGGGGTCCTGCATCTTCCCCGCCCCCCTGGCCAGGAGAGGGCGGCGGGGCTGGGCCTCCTACCTGGATCTCCTCCTGGTACATCTTGAGGCTCAGGTCGCTCTTGGTCCTGGATCTCCGTCCCAGGAACACCATGGCGTTTTGCTGGGGGCGGGGAGCAGAGGCTGTGGGCGCCGGCCCGGCCCTCCCCGCACCCTGTCGCCTCGCCAGCGCCCCGTGCCTCACCTGCTGCCTCTCCATCTGGGCGAGGAGCCTGAGCAGCCGTGGCACGTCGGACGAGGCCCCCCGTGTCTCCCGGAGCAGCCCCAGGGCGCCCAGCAGCTCGTCCTTGGACAGCTCCTTCTCCAGCGTGATGCCGCTGTCCACTGTGGGGACACGAGCGTGCTCCAGCCCCGCCAGCCCTGCCCCCGGCCCTTCCCTCCCCGAGGTCAGGCTGCCAGGTGGGAGGCCCCGAGCGTGAGGGAGGCTGAGGCAGGAAGCACCAAAGTCCTGGGCACGCACACGAGTGATGCCCTTTATGGAGCATGCAAGGTGTGGGGGGCCTCGGGGGCTGTTTGGGGGCATCTAGAACTGTCTGGGGGCACCTTAGGGTATCTGAGGGCACCTGGAGGTATCTGGGGGCGTCTGGGGGTATCTAAGGGCATCTGGGGGTTTCTAGGGCACCTTGGGCTACCCGGGGGTACATGGGGTAACTGGGGGCATCTGGGGCTGTCTGGGGACCCCTGGGGGCACCTGACACTGTCTGGGGCATCCAGGGCTGTTAGGGGTCATCTGGGGGCACCTGGGGGGATCTGAGGGCATCTGCGGCTCTCTCAGGGCATCTAGGGCTGTCTGGGGGCCCAACACTATCTGTTTGGGGCGCCTGGGGCTGCCTGCGTCTAACTGGTTGTCAGAGCGTGAGGGCGGGAGCGGAGACCTGGGAAGCCTGGTCCAGCCCAGCGAAGGGAGACGAGGCAGAGACGAGCTGCGAGCACCAGGCCCCCGGGCTCCATGGAACTGAGCAACATGGGATGCCCTTGTTTCCAGCTGGTCCAGGGAGCCTGCCCCAGATGCCGGACCTGTGTGTGCCCTCCAAACACTGACGTGGATAATTTTCAACTTTTTAAAAAGGTTTTTTTTTTTCCTGTCCTACGTTTAGAAAGCGGGGGGCCAGCACTTGCCAGGTGAGAGGCCCGGCAAGCCCCAAGCACAGAGCTGGGAGTAAGCCCCGAGCACCGCTGGGTACCCCCCACCAATTTAAAAATCAGGACAAACAGGAGATCTAGAAAGATCACCCTGAAAGAGAAGCAAGAATGGCCCAACAGCCAGAAAGCAGCCAGCTGGGCAGAGACAGCGGGGCAGACGGCTGGGCGGACAGAAGGGACAGGCAGACGGACAGGCAGATGGACAGGGAGACGGCCGGGCCGCGGGCGCACACCTTCTGAGTCCTGGTTCTTGCGACTGTAGTTCATCCGGAAGACGAAGGCCTCAAGGATGAAGGCGACGATGATGGTCATCACCACCTGGGCGGGCGGGAAGCATGGGCAGCGGGGGCGGCCGGGGCCAGGGTCTGGGTGGGCAGGGGCTGGGTGGGGGGGAGGCGGGGGGCGAGGCAGCCGGGCCCGGGGCCTACCATGGTCACGATGTAGAAAGTCATGAAGTACAGGCGGCTCCAGTGGGAGGTCTGAGAGGTGACACCCTCCTGTGGGCAGGGGCCAGTGAGCAGCCTGGGTAGCGGGCCTGTCACCCACCCCCACCCCATAATCTCGGCTACCCCGTCACCTGCTCCCCCACCCTGCTGGGCCCTCAACCGCCCCTCCCCATGCTCCCAAGTCTGCGCACTCCTCAGACTCCCCCCTTGCGCCCTAGGATTGAGCTCCCCATGCTCCCTGGATCTGTGCTCCCCCGTATTCCCCACGGTGTGTTCTCCCCCGTGCTCCCGCATCTGTGCTCCTCTCCCATGCTCCCGCGCCTATGCTCCTCTCCCGTGCTCCCGCACCTGTGCTCCCTTCATGTTCCCCAGGTCTGTGCTCCCCATGTCTGTGCTCCTCCCCCATGTTCTCCACATCTGTGCGCTCCCCCCGTGCTCCTAGGTCTGTGCTCCCCCTGTACTCCCTCCGTGCTCCTGGGTCTGTGCTCCCTCTATGCTTCCCAGGTCCGTGCTCCCTGGGTCTGTGCTCCTTCCCGTGCTCCCGGGTCTGTGCTCCCCCCACGGCTGTGCCTGGACTCCTCACCATGATGATGTACCAGTTGTTGACAACCGTGAGCTCAAACAAGGTCACTGTCAGGGTGGGACAGGGAAGACGCAGCTCCGTCAGACCCTCTTCCTCCTCCACGCCCTGCCCCCCCATGCTGCCACTCCCTCTGCCCGCGGGGTCAGGACACTGGGAGGACCATACCAGGGCACCCCTCAGGGCCTGCCCCTGTGGCTTGTCCCCGGGGAGTCACATGATGGACAGGGCTGGGCGGAGTCCCGGGTTTGGAGCTGAGGCCCTGAGCGGGGCCGTGCCAAGGCACTGAGGCCGGCAGGGGGGTGGGGTGGGGGGTGTCCCCTACCAGTCACTGTGCCCCTGCTGGCCATATACAACGCTCCTTGGGTGCCCAGAGGCGTACAGGGGCAGGCCGCGGGCACTGGAGCGGGTGGTGAGTGCCGGAGTGGGCGCAGGGGCGGCGCTCACCGAAGCTGTTGAGGAGGTTGTCGAAATTGTTGAGATAATAGTACCCCGCCTCCACCACTGTCCTGTTGCCCTCCGTGCGGTTCAGCCAGCGGTAGGCGTCGGCCACGGTGCTGGTGCTGGGGAGCCACAGAGCCGCAGCCGTTTGTGGGCACCCGCAGAGGGTGGAGGAACCCCGCGGCCGCCCCACGTGGTACTGTGATGTTGCTGGCCCGACTCGCCTCGCCAGCCCCGAGAGGCCCTGGGGGTGGGGGCGCAACCCTGGGGGGTTCTCCAGGCTGGAGGGGGGCACTGGGCGGGGGGCTCAGAGGCGGTCTGGTTCTGAGCACTGCGGGGGGCTCTGGCCCCTCCCGCTCAGAGCCAAGCCCCAGCAGGACCCCAGAGCCACTTTCGGGCAGACAGGGAAGCGGCTGGGAGGGGCTGGGGTCCCGGGGAGGGTCCCGGTGGTATGAGGCTGTGGTTGGAGTCTCCAGGAGGTGCGACACGGTCTGACTGGGTCCCTGGGGGTGTGGGGAAGTGGCGGGCTCCCGGGGGTGCTCACTTGCAGCAGTTGGGGTACAGGATCCCGCAGAAGAATTCCATGCCCACGATGGCGAAGGAGTAGTAGAAGATGAGCAGGGTGAGGCCCAGGCTGGGGAGAGAGCGCAGGGGTGATGGGCCTGGCCGGAGAGCGCCGGGCGACCCCCGGATCGAGGCTCCCCCCGGAGTCAGCCCACCCCCCGCCCCGAGGAGGGGGCAACGTGGCCGGGAGGGGCCGCACCTGGCCATCCGCGGCAGCAGCTCGAACATGGTGTCCAGCACGTTCCGGTAACGCTTCTTCAGCTTGAAGAGCCTGCGGGGGGGGGGGGGGGCGCACATGGATGACGGAGGGCAGGAGGCCCAGGACTGCCCCCCACAGGACACCCGTCCTCCCGAGGCCCCGCCTGCACGAACACTGCACGGCTGGAAGGCCGATGGCCGTGCCGGGCCCAGGGAGGGTCACAGCTCCTGTCCCCGAGGAAAGGGGGCACGCTCACACCCCCGCCACTCCGTCACTCGCCATCCCCACCCCCCATGCACGCTGGCGCCCAGACAGGCCCCGGCCCCCTCCCTCCCCTCCCCTATCTCCTCTCCGGAAGGCGGGTCAGGGGCTGCTGCCCGTTTCCAAAGGGACCCTCAGAGCCCCAGAGGCCGGGGCGGGTCCCCTGCTGCGTCCTGGATGTTCGTCTCAAACACCCCTTCCCGTCTGAGAGGCCCTGGGTGGCTCCTCAGACACAGACCCTTGGCCAGGGGGCACCCGGGGCTGGTCCCACATAGCCGCACCCCTCCCTGCCCCGCTGGGCCGGCACCTCAGCAGCTGGAGGGGACGCAGGACCATGATGAAGTAAAAGGGCTCCATGTTGAAGGCCACGGCCAACAGCCCCAGGAAGGCGAAGGCCGTGACGAAGAAGTCGAACCTGCAGGGGACAGAAGCCGCCGGTCAGGTCAGCGCTGACCCCCGGGACAGCCATGCCCCGAACACCTCCTCTGGGAAGTCCTCCCGCACCAGGTGACCCAAATGTGCCCCCCCCCCCGCCCTGCGGTCCCTGACCCCAAGGAAGCCACTAAGGGAAGGGGCCCGGAACTCACAGGTTCCATCCAGAGGACAGGTACTCCACGGGGCCCAGGCCGGCCACCTTGAGGAACAGCTCCACCCCATAGACTGCAAAGAGAGGCAGCTGGCAGCACCCTGCCCAGCCTCTGCGCCCGGCGGGGAGGACGTGTGGGCAACACAAGGGGCCGAGCGGGTCAAAGGGACAATGGGCATCGAGGGGAAACTCTGTGCCTCCGTCCGCCCCCTCAATGCTCAGACATCGTCTCTCCTGGCACCTGGGGTTTCCCTGGCACCTCCCCGGGGATAGGCCTGGCCAGCGGGAGGACATAGGGAGGTGAAAGCCACACAACGGGGATTCAGAGGTCAGAGGAGGATGTGGAAGACGAGGAGGAGGAGGAGGAGGAGGAGGAGGAGGAGGAGGAGGAGGAGGAGGAAGAGGAGGAGGAAGAGGAGGAGGAAGAGGGAGAGGAAGAAGAGGAGCCAGGCTTAGGGTCAAAGCAAAGGGATATGCAAAGGCCCTGAGGTCGACAGAGGCCACAGGATGGGAGGACAGGGTGCAGGCGGCATGGGTGCTCGGATCTCAGGCCGGGGGCACAGGGCGAGTTTATGGGGGCAGGAAGACGCGACACCACTTCCAATCCATGCACGGGGCTAGGGCCCCGCTCCGGACACGGGCACTTACTGGAGAGAAAGACGAGGTAGCTCCAGGGCACGTGCTGGGAGAAGAAGTTCCCACCTGGGGGAGAGAGGGCGGCCGTTCAGGGGGGACAGGCAGGCAAGCCCGGGCCAGCCCACCACTGGGGCCCACCTTTCAGCATGAATGTCTCCAGGAGGATCCAGACACCGTTCACCGCCACCACCAAGTCTGCAGGACGGGGCAAGAGGTGCTGTGTGAGGGTCAGCGCGGAGGCACGTCCAGGCCTGCTGTGTCCAGCTCCCCCACAGACATGACCCCAGCGGGTGGGAAAGCGGGGTACACGTCGGGGCCAGCCTCGCGCACAGCGTTCAGCAGGACAGAGCTCAGTATGTGGGAAGAGCAAAGGCCCTGTGGCCAGCAAGGCGAATTTGTGCCACTCTTGCTCTCGTGGGGCCTGCTTCAGAGAAAAGAGGAGGATGCTCTCATGCACCCGCCAGGCGGGTCTCTGGGATGTGCCGTGAGCTGGAAGAGCCTCAGGCAGGCCCTGCAGCGACTCAGCCGTTGGGGCACGCACGTACCCGCCGAGCAGCATGTGTAGCGGGCATTAAGATACCCCCCCCACCCGGCTGTTGGGTGCTGAGGACAAGAGCAGAACCGGCCGCTTGCACAGGTGCCCGAGAGCTGGACCGTCAGACGTGAGTCCCGTGGCTCGCTGGGGAGGACGGGGGGGGGGGGTGGGGGGAGTGGAGCAGGGCGTGGGGCTGACACTCACACATGAAATACCGGAAGGCCTTGGACTTCACGAGGATGTTGATGCCTGCATAGAGAGAACAGTGACCAGGAGGTGTCCCCGGCCGGGACAGGCTGGTCCGCAAGGAGGTGGAGGAGGTGGGGGAGGGACCCCCACTCTCAGAGTGACCCCCACTTTGTGCTCAAAGCCCCCCAGCCCCACCCCATACACAGCCTCAGACAGGGCAGCAGGGCCTGGGACCGGGCTGTCCCCTCCCGTCTCGACCTGAAATTCCGAGTGCCAACCACCTACGGGTGGGGCTACCAGACCAGCTCCTGCCAAGAGCCAGCTCTCAGGAGTATCACCGGGGTCCTGGCTGACCCTCCAGGTCTCCTCAATGCGCATGGCACGAGGGGATGGTCCGAAGACACGGCCGGGCCAGCACCTGCAGGACCTCCAGTTCCAGCTCTGCATCCCCCCAGCACAGCCCGCGGGGATCCCAGGGGAGAATGTCCCCCCCCACACACACACTGTATTCATCCTATTCAGCAAGGGTCTAGGAGCAAGAACCGGAGCACAGCATGGAAGCATGACCCAGGGTTGACTCCCGGCTCCCCAGATGGTCCCCAAAACTGCCAGGAGAAAACCCTGGGCAGGAGTAGGCGCTAAAACCCAAAACCAACACCCCCAGAAAGAAGGGAGCAGGAGACAGGTCAGGGTCTAGGCTGTGTAGGCTGTGCCTACGTAAGGATCGGCGCCAGCTGTATCCTAGAGGCCCACCCCCCACTGCCATTGCGGCCCCGAGCCGAGCCACCCAGCCCAGCTGGCCGGTATCACTGGGAGAGGCCAGGACCACAGGTCTTACGTGGGAGCCCCCAGATTCTCCGGGACAGACACAAGCGGGAGCCTTTGTAGGCTCAGAGTCATCAGTGAAGGACTAATCGTCTCTGGATGGTTTCTCTCTCTCTTATTTATTTACTTTGCTCTTGGGGCCGCACTCAGCAGTGTGCTAGGGGCTTCTTCCTGGCTCTGCGCTCAGGAATCACTCCTGGCAGTGCTTGGGGACCATCAGGGTGCCGGGGATTGAGCCTGAGTCAGCCACTGCAAGGCCCACACTGTCCTGTGGTTCTGGCCCTGTCTCGGTACGATTATTTTGGTATGAACACAGCAGAGTCTTTTGTTTGGCTTTTAAGCAACTGATTTCTTTTTTTTTTCCTCTCTTTTTTGGGTCACATCTAGCAATGCTCAGGGGTTCCTCCCGGCTCTGCACTCAGGAATTACTCCTGGCGGTGCTCGGAGAACCATATGGGGTGCTGGGAATCGAACCCGGGTCGGCCTCGCACAAGGCAAACGCCCAACCTGCTGTGCTATCACTCCAGTCCCTAAGCGACTGGTTTCCTTCCCTTCCTGCCTGTGCACAGACCCCCAGCATGGTTCTAAAACGTTCCATGCCCCCCACCCCCCCACTGCTCACCTTTGAAGATGAGGAAGGCGGTCCGGGGTAGCTCGTCAAACCAGTGCTCTCGGTTTTTCTTGGCCTGGAGTGGGCAGTGTCGGTGTGAGCAGAGACGCACCCTGAGCTCGGGCCCAGCTCTGCCCCTGGCTTTGTGGGGACCATGGGATCACGGGGTCTGACGTGAGGACAGGCCGGCCAAGGACAGCCTGACCCATGTCCAAGGACACAGGCCTCGGGAAGGTCCAACAGCTGCCGGGTGTCCCGGGTGCCTGTCCGGTCGCGGCTCTCTTAACCGAGGGGCTGTGGGTGCCCGGGGTCCCAGGAGCCCTGTGGGCCTGGGTCCGGGTCTCCTGCCTGAGTCCCCCAGCAGGGCCAGAGCCTGAGACCACTTTCCACCCCGCAGGGCCGACTCTATCCCCCTCTCCATCCCCGTCCACTGCACCTTCCACTTCAAGGCGGCCACTTCATAGATGTCGTAGAAGTCCTTCAGGCTGTCAGAAGCAACGTGGGAGGGTCAGGCCGGACCCTGGGGTCAGAGCACGGCCGGCCCCCCACTCCACGCTCCCACCCGAGCATGGCCCCGGGCCCACCTGAGCAGGGCCCCACCGCTCTGGTTCAGGGCCTTGAAGGTCAGGTAGCGCTCCCAGGCGCGCATGCGGGGCTTGTAGAAGCGCATCAGCCCGTCAAACTGCCGGTAGGAGATGCCGCCGGGCTTCTGGGGGGCGGAGGGGGAGACAGCGATGTCGGGGACCCCCAAGCACCCCTGTCTGGGGGGGGTGGGGCAGCTGCCCCGAGACCCCACATTACCCCAGACCCTGGGGTGCCCCTCGCCCTGGCCTCCCCGGCAGCCCCCGTTTCTGAAGCCGCTGGCCCTGCGGGGACCCCGGTCCCCCCCAACCGCACACCTGCTGGCGGCCGAGCAGCCGGAAGGCGTGCTGGATGGCCGTGCGCTTGTGCAGCAGCAGGGACTTGAACTTGCGCTTCTCGATGTCGTTGAACGTGTCAAACACCACGGCCAGGAGCTGAGGGGGGAGAGAGGTACCTGGCTGTCGCCATGGGGGACTCGGGGGTCCAGAGTGCAGAGACACCCCCAGGTGTCTGGGGAGACCCTTGGGCCGCCCCCTCCCCACCCAGGGCCCAGGGTTCGAGTCCCGGAGGACGCCGTTGTGCCGCGCCACACGATTCCCTCCAGCTGGAGGACGTGGTCATCCAGAGGCCCAGCTCACCCTGTTCTTCCCCCCGGGGGCGGCCAGCTGGGCATGCTGACTGGAGGAGGGGGCCAGGGGTGCCCGCGTCAGCACCGGACACCACGAAGGTCACTGCCAAGGCCTCCTCCCTCCTCCCCTCCCCCGACCAGGGGTCACAGCGCTGAGCCTGGTGTCCTCGGGAAGGGGACCCAGGAGCGGAGCAAAAGGGACCTTCCCAGACTACCCGACATCACGCCCGGTGACACTCAGGGCATCCTCCTGGCTCTGCGCTCAGGGATCGCTCCCAGCCGGGCGCGGGAACCGTATGAGAAGGCAGGGATCGAACCCGAGTCGGTCGCGTGCAAAGCAAACACCCTCCCCTCTGCCCTATTGCTCCGGCCCAGAAGCTTCTTTCTGAAAGGAACCTTTTGTCCCCCCCACCCCATCAGATGCCCCCCTCCCTCCCTGCGGGCCCAAGCAACAGTTTCTCCCAGCAGGGCCAGAGAACAAACAGTTCCCGGAGAGCCAACAGATGGCCCCAGTGCCCGGCACTCATGCCAGGGACCAGCGGGGCCGCCGTGTAAACAGACGGACAGCCCACGTGCCCACACCGGGCCCTGGCAGCAGCCAGCTCGGAGCCCCTCCAGGGAGTTCACGGCTCAGGGCTCCGGTCAACCAACCCCCCTGCGGCTCCCTCCGGTGGCTGGGCCCACCCTACGGTGACCGCCGCCTGCTGGGGCCGAGTGTGGCGCTGGCAGGGAGCCCTAGCTCCCAGGTTCTCGGCTCCACGGGGTCGTAGCGCTGCCCAAGAGCTGAGTGGCAGGGCAAGGTGCCACTGGCACGCCCGTCGTGGCAGCAGTGAGCCAGAGGGGCCCGCAAACACCTCCGGCGTCCCCCCTGGGGCCATCACGGCCTGGGTGGGAGACATGCGGGCCCGGGGTGCAGGGGAGGGAGGCCGAGAGCAGGTTCTAGAAAGGGACCGTGGAGCCACGAAGCAGTGTGGACGAGGACGGGGATGTCCACGCAAGCACCACGGAGGGCTGGCAGCCCCCAGGGGCCGGGTTAGGGCCCTGAACCCAACGGGCAAAGCAGGCCACGCACTGCCTGCCGGGGGCCCAACCAGCATGTCTGGGGTAGAACCCGGCGTCCCCAGGAGCCGCCGCTCCATCCCGGGCACCTGCCCCCTCCAGCCAGCACCCGGCCGCTGAAGTGTCTGAGTGGGGGGCTCACCAAGTTCATGATGAAGTAGAGCTCGAGAGAGAGGTACACGATGAAGAAGACGCAGGACCAGGGGTTCCGGGCGTACGACGGCATCATCACGTCTGGGAAGCTGCGAGGGGCGTGACTCGTGCCGCCTGCCCCTGCCCCCCGACCCCCGCCCGGCCACCCCCTCCACCCATGGAGCCCGGGCTGAGCCCCACTCACTTGGCCGTGGTCAGCAGGACGAAGAGGCTGACGATGCTGTTCTCCAGGCTGCTGAAGTACTGGCGGGCGGGGGAGAGTGGTGGGCGCCGGCCCGTGAGGGACCCACCGGGTCCCCTACCTCCCCCCAGGGCTGGGTCCAGGGGCCGAAATGGGGGCCCCCGGCAGGAGCAGAGGCCGCAACACGGGCGCTCGGCTCAAACCTGTGCACAAACAGCCTCGCAGGGACAAGTAGGGGAGCCCCGACGGGGACGGGAGGCAGGGCCCTGCCGTGAGAAGCCAGGGGACAACCCCCTCCTCGGGAGGCCGGGCCCGTGTGGCCCTGTGGCAGAGGGAACAAGCAGACAAGCACGCAGACAGACTTACCGGGTCGGACGGGTTAGGAGAGAACAGGTAGAAGCCTAGAAGCGGCGGGAAATGGACAGAAAACAGGGTCAGCCCAGTGGCAGGGGACAGGCGCCCATTCCCGGCACCGTCCAGTGTGGTTGCTGTCCCCGTGACTCAGACAACCACATGGACACCACAGAGACGAGGGCTGGAGAGAGCAGAGGCCCAAAGGACGGGACATGGCGGCATGTGGATGCAGCAACTGAGAGGCAGGGGCGTGGGGCCCTGTGTGTTTCGGCGCCCAGGAACATGTGTGTCTCGGTCCCCAGAGGACATGTGTCAGCGCCCAGAAACACATGTGTGTCTTGGCCCCTGAGAACACATATGTATCTCAGCCCCTAGAGGGCACATGTGTGTCTCGACCCCCGGGAACATGTGGCCTGCAGGGGCAGGCATGCTCGGACACTGCCACGCACCACTCGGAACATCGCCTCCTTGCCCCCGCCCCCCCCAGTCCCCCCAGGCCCCGGGCTGGGCTCTGCGTGACCATCTCATTCACCATGAACTCACGTGTGCAGTGTTCTCAGCCCCAAACCCACCTCACCCAGGCCTCAGCAGACCCTGCCACAGTGCCACGCCTCCTTTGGAGCAAAGGACATCCCACGGGGAAGGGGGCGCAGGAGAGCACCGTGGCTCAGGACAGTGGGCACTGGCCCAGGGTGTCCCTGCCTTGGCTAACTCAGCACAAAAAGCCCCCCCCCATGTCCTCTGGGCCCTGTTGGGGCGCCACAATCTCAGCCCCTAGCTGGGTCTGGGTGTGGGGGTCTGGGCCCAGAAAGGAAGAACTTCCGGGACCGTGGAGAGCCCATGCGGGCACCTGTGGGATCCACAGAAAGTGCGTGTGACGGAGACGCCACCAGGGGGCAGAGGCACCCACAGGTCTCACACCCACCTCTCGGGCCCCCAGAAGGAGCTGGATCTACGTGGACTCTGGGCTCCATAGTAAAAGGGCAACTCGGACGCAGACACGCCCGTCCACACACAGGCGCTGGTACTTAGAGATGCCAGAACCTGACGGGCAACTGCCTTTGGCCTGCTTTTTTTTGGGGGGGGGGGGGCCCTCCTGGCCGTTTAACGTGATTCCCCAGTTCAATTTGGGGGTCCAAGGAGGCGGAGCTGCTTGAGCCCTTCAGTCCTGGGATGCCTGGGCCGCCTGGCCGTGCCTGGGGCCTCCAGGACTGCGCCCTGCAAGGTCGCGGGCTGACCCAAGCTCGGCCACATGCAAGGCAAGTGCCTCAGCCCCTGCCTGCCCTCCAGCCAGTGACCCCCGTTCCTGCTGCTCAGGAAAGGCCGCAGAGGGAGACTCCCCGGCAGCACGAGCCCCCTGGGGCAGGGGCCAGGGGGGCGATGGGCTCGGGGGTCAGAACTGGACGTGCAGCAGAGGCCTCTCCCTTACTAACGACCTGCAGCCCCTCTGCTGAAGCGGGGAGGTGCGGGGGGTGGGCGGGAGCGGGGTTGACTCTGCCCAGGGATGCTCCTTGTTGTGGGTGGTGCTGGGTGTGGTGCTCACCGAGGATGGCGAAGATGATCATGAAGAAGCAGAGTAGCAGGAGGATGTCCATGAAGGGCGGCAGGGACTGGAAGATCTGCCGCAGGTTTCTGGGGGAGGGGGGGGGTGGGAGGGGGGTGGGCATGCGGTCAGCCCCAGGGGACCCATGTGCAGCACCGGGGGGAGGCAGCAGGAGGCCCGGGGTGCGACCTCAGCTGTGGCTCCCACGAGGCATGGGGCACTGAGGCCCAGCACCCAGTAGAGGCTCTCCCCACAGTGCTCACTGAAGTCTGCCTGGGGGTATGGGTGGAGGGCCCCGTGCAGGGGGGAGGAGACCCATCAGCAGGATGGAGAGCGCAGGATCCGAGATGGGGACACCCCGCCCCAGGGGGCTGCAGAGCCGGGACCCCTCTGCCCCCTCCGCCAGGGCCAAGGTGTGGCACCTCCCCTTACCGCCGCACGCCGCCGCAGTACCGACAGTCCACCAGGAAGATGCAGCGCAGGGCCCGGGTCACCCGCATGTGGGACGTCTGGCGGACCAGTACCACGATGGCCTCGAGGAACTGCACGGCCAGCACGGAGGTCTGGAGGGGGCAGGAGGGTCATTTGGCCGGCCCCGCCCTCACAACCCCCTTCAGGCTGCCGGAAGCAGCTTCGCAAGTGCCCCCACATGGCCCTGGGCCCAGGCAGAAGCGTCAGGACGCTGCGGAGAGATCAGCGTGGGGAGACCTGCCTGGGCACCCCGAGTTCCTGGGACTCAGAGCCCCCCTGTGCAGGCTGGCCGCGTGGAGGCCAGCAGAGGAAGACATCTGCCATGCCCCAGCACTGCGTCATGGTGGGCACGGGTTGCAGGTGCCCCAGGAACGGGATCTGCAGCGCGGGGGTCCTGGGCCACAGGCCTCTCACCTTGACCATGGTGCGCTTGTGCCGGATGAAGGTGTGGAGGCCCAGCCAGCGCAGCTTCATGCAGAGCTCGAACACCACCACCGTCAGGGCCAGCAGCTCCAGGGTGGTGTGGACCTGCGGCCAGAGGGCACGGAGGTGTGGCTCAGGGAGCCCAGACCCAGAACAAGACCAGGCCCTCCTGGAGCACAGGCCACGCCCCTCAAAGCAAGGCCACGCCCCTCGCCAGAGACCACGCCCTCTCAGAGCATAGGCCAGGCCCCTCAGTGAAGCGGCATTCCCAGAGCACAGGCCACATCCCTCAGTTGAGACCACGACCTCCCAGAGCATAGACGACGCCCTCTCAGAGCAAGGCCACGCCCCTCACCCCGAGACTACGCCCCCCAGAGCACAGGCCACTCCCCTCAGTAAGAGAGATTCCCTGAGCACAGACCTCACCCTTCAATTGAGACCACGCTCTCCCTGAGCAAGGCCCCGCCCCACTGAAGACCACGCCCTCCCAGAGCACAGACCACGCCCCTCATCGGAGACCACGCTCCAGAGCATAGGCCACTCCCCTCAGTAAGAGGCATTCCCTGAGCATAGACCTCACCCCTCAATTAAGACCACGCCCTCCCAGAGCACAGGCCCCACCCCTCACCGAGGCCACGCCTCCCAGTTCACAGACCATGCCCCTCATCGGAGACCACGCCCTCCCTGAGCACAGGCCCCGCCCCACTGAAGACCACGCCCTCCCAGAGCACAGGCCCCGCCCCTCACAGAGACCACGCCCCTCAGCGCAAGGTCACGCCCCTCATTGAGACCACGCCCCCAGAGCATAGGCCACTCCCCTCAGTAAAGAGGCATTCCGAGCATAGATCTCATCCCTCAATTGAGACTACGCCCTCTCAGAGCACAGGCCACGCCCCTCATCAGAGACCACGCCCCCAGAGCATAGGCCACTCCCCTCAGTAAAGAGGCATTCCGAGCATAGACCCCATCCCTCAATTGAGACCACGCCCTCCCAGAGCACAGGCCCCGCCCCTCATCGGAGACCACGCTCCAGAGCATAGGCCACTCCCCTCAGTAAAGAGGCATTCCCTGAGCATAGACCTCATTCCTCAACTGAGACCACGCCCTCCCAGAGCAAGGCCCCGCTCCTCACAGAGACCACGCCCCCTCAGAGCACAGGTCACGCCCCTCATTGGAGACCACGCCCCCAGAGCATAGGCCACTCCCGTCTCAGTACAGAGGCATTCCAAGCATAGATCTCATCCCTCAATTGAGACTACACCCTCTCAGAGCACAGGCCCCACCCCTAGAGCAAGGCCACGCCCCTCATCGGAGACCACGCCCCCAGAGCATAGGCCACTCCCCTCAGTAAAGAGGCATTCCGAGCATAGACCCCATCCCTCAATTGAGACCACGCCCTCCCAGAGCACAGGCCCCGCCCCGCTGGAGACCACGCCCTCCCGGAGCATAGGCCCCACCCACTGGAGACCACGCCCTCCCAGAGCATATAGACTTGGCCTGGAGCTGCGACCCCCCCCATCTCATCCCACCCCCTACCCCGTCTCACTCACGTAGATGCCCAGGCGCAGCGCGGGCACGGCGGGCGCCTCGCACAGCGAGAGCAGCAGGAGCAGCAGGGCCGTGGCGAGCTCCATCAGGTAGAAGTGGTGGTTGTGCACAAAGAGGTAGGCGGCCAGCGCCTTGGCACTGTCGGGGTGCGTGACGAACTTGTCGTTATTCTCGCCCTCCTGAGGAAAGAGCGCAGGCGGGGCTGCAGGTGGGAGTGGGCAATGGCTTCCCTGGCACCCTGCACACTGCCTGGCGGAGCCCCCAGGCAGGAAAGGTTCCAGGGACGGGGGCCACGTGCAGGGCAAGTGCACTACCCGCTGGGCTACCTCTCTCACTGCAAACCTCTGCTTTCAGGGGAGGGGGTTTCCCAAGCGATGCTGGGGGGGGAGGGGGGGGCCCAAGGTCACTCCTAGTGACTGTCCCTGTGGGCCAGCACTTCGGCACAAGCTCCTGAGAATAGGGTAGTGCTCGCTGACGGTGCTCGGGAGGCTGTGTAGGGCCGAGGCTGAGTCCTGAGCGGGCACACGGGCAGCAGTCGCCGCTCCAGCTCCCAGCCCCGGGCGTCAGCCCGCAGATCAGCCATGCTGAGAGTGAAGGCCTCAGGCAGAAGTCTCTCCCCTCGCTCGTTCGGGAATGATTTTGATCAAAATGAACTTATTCATTTTACTAAATTTATTTATTTATTTATTTTGCTTTTTGGGTCACACCCGGCGATGCTCAGGGGTTACTCCTGGCTCTGCACTCAGGAATCACTCCTGGCGGTGCTCGGGGGACCATATGGGATGCTGCGAATCGAACCTGGGTCGGCCGCGTGCAAGGCAAATGGTCTACCCGCTGTGCTACTGCTCCAGCCCCTCATTTTACTAAATTTAAACAACTCCCCCGTCCCCCAAAAAGTACAAGCCTGAAACAGCAATCACAAAAATACAAACAAGCAGAAGAAGAAAAGACAAGATCTCGATTTCTCCACCAAGGATTCCTGGCCCCAAACTGGCCGTGTTCGTGGGAAGAGAGCGTGGGGGAGGCCAGGCCGCGTGGAGATACACAATACACAGGGACGGGGGGGCGGGGCAGAGCCCAGAGGGGGTCTCTCAGGTTGGACCGAGCACACAGCAGGAACCAGGGCCTGGCGCCCTTCCCTTCCTCCCACAGGTGCCAAGGCCAGGAGAGACCTTCTGGGTGCAGAGCAGGCCCGGACGGCTCACCTGGAGGTAGATGGCCGCCTCTTGGTAACTCATCTCCCAGCTGTGTCCCGTGGGGCTCAAGGGGGAACTCTCGCCCCCTGAGCTCAGGCTGGGGGTCCCAGAGTTGTGGCCGGCACAGGTGCTGCCATCTGTTGCGAGAGGATGAGAAAGTCAGAGAACGAAGACACCCTGCAGACCGCCCCTCAGTGCCCACCCCCAGCACGGGGCCCATCGGGTGGGAGGCTTTGCCAGAGTGACCAGCAACTGTGAGTGCGTGATACAGCACACGACGTTTGGGCGCAGAGGGATCTGAGAAAGCAGGAAATCAGAAGGATCCGCTGGAGCTTGGCAGGGAGAAACAGGAAGGCTGACACGTCCCAGTGGCCTGCTCTTTGTGTCGGGTTTGGGGGCCACGCCTGGCCGAGCCCAGGGCTTCCTCCTGGCTCTGCGCTCAGGGTTCACTCCTGGTGGGCTTGGGAAAACCCTCGGAGGTGCCGGGGACTGAGCCCGCATCGAAGGCACGCAAGGCAAGCGCCCCGCTGGCTGTACGGTCTCTCCTGTCCCACCCTGCCTCAGATCTCAAGTCTTTAGATCCCTTGCATTTCGTGCAATTATTGATATGCTCAGAATTAAGTCATCATCTGGCTATTTATTCTATCGCCTCCTTGCTCCTGGCCCTCCGCCATCTAAACGTCTGCTTTCCTTTTTTGCTTTTTTGCTTTTTGGGTCACACCCGGCGATGCTCAGGGGTTACTCCTGGCTCTGCACACAGGAGTTACTCCTGGCGGTGCTCAGGGGACCCTATGGGATCCTGGGAATCGAACCCGGGTCTGCCGCGTGCAAGGCAAATGCCCTACCCACTGTGCTATCGCCCCAGCCCCATAAATCTCTGCTTTTCAGAGCTGGAGTGAAAGGGAGGTGTGGCTCTCAATGTGTTTTGGCTGTGTCTATGGGACCTGTGAGCCCCTCGGCAAGGGTAGAGGGGTGACCCCGTCTCCATTTTCTGAGCTCCCTGTGGGAAGGGCGTGGAGGGGCCAGGACGCCTGCAGGGACCCCCGATGTGTCCTGGTGCAGCGTGGCTCCCAAGCACCAGCAGGGCAGCCCCTCACACTGCTGGGAAGCCCCCCACTCCCCAAAAAGAGCAAGTTAGGGGAGAACCTTGAAGAGAATGGAAAGCGCTTACCGAGGCTTCCGACCCTTCCTGGGGGGCCGAGCCCGCCCGGCAGTTGGGGCTCAAGCGTGGGCAGTGGCTGCTGCATGGGATGGGGGGGCCTCCAGAGCCCCTGCCTGCCGGGGCAGTGCCCAGGGATTACAGGGCAGTGGGGCGGGCGCCTGGTGGTGCAGCCTCCAGCCGGCGGGCGGCAGGTGCCGTGCAATTCAGAAGCGCTTTACACCTCGGCAGCACGCAGAGGCGTGGCATAATCCCTACCTGGCCCAGCGAGTCAGGTCTGGCCTGCTCTGCCACGACGGCCAGCGGACACCGTGGCCCAAGAGGTGATGGCTGGGCTCCAAGTCATGGGTGCCCGCCCTCCTGTCCAGGGAAGGGCAGGGTAGGAGAAGGGGCGGGCAAAAGGCCCAGCAGCAGGAGGGCGTCCCAGTGCCCAGCCTCCGGGGCCACAGCCCTGAGCTGGGGACGGCTTGGGGGCGGGGGGGAGCTGGCCCCTGGACACGTCTGAGCATGGAATCTGGAGGTCCACTGCTTCGAAGCCGCCTCCCCCATCTTCCTGGGTTGAGCCCGCAGCTCCTGGGACACACACAGGAGCGAGTGGTGGGCGGCCAGGCCAGGCACAGGCACCCCGGAAAAGGCTGCCCTGCAGACGGTGCAGGACCTTCCCGGCACACTCACTGCAAGGGCCCGGCCCCAGGAGATGGGGTGGCTGGCCGCGGTGCCGCGGGGAGCAGCCCTCCTCCGGGGAGAGGGGGGAGGAGGCCACCTCTGCATTTCCGTTGTTCCGGGGAGGCCCAGGGCTGGACACCAGGGCGCTCGTGAAGGGCAAAGAGCGGCCGCGGTCGGTGGAAGGGGGCGGGGATCACAGACCAGGCGCGTCCCCTGGCTGTGTTCTCAGGAACGGGCCAGAGGAAGCTGAGCTGGAACGTTCCGGGCACCAGCAAGGCCCCACTCGGCGCCTCTGGGGAAAGCGTCAGGAAGGGAAACATTCTGTTCTGCCCTCCCGGTGCCCGGGGCAGCGTCCTCCCCCGAAAGCGGCTGCCTGCAGCGGCTCCGGATTTACGCTCCACCTACTCCTGCCCTGGCTCTCCCGAAGCTGGCAGCCGGCCCGGCCAGGGAGGGGGAGACTCGAGCAAATCGCAGGCCGGAGGCGGAGCAGGGGCTTAAGTCACAGGAACAGCCAACGGCAGCCTGCGAGAGCAAGGAGACTCCCCGCACCGAGGGGGAGGCGAACCGGGGTGACCTGTTTGCACAGATGGGGACGCTTCCTCCACGCTGATGTCACAGGCCCGGCACTGCCTGCACAACAGCTGGGGACTGTGCGTGCGGCCTCGGAAACGGGCCCGCGGGGAATCCACGGGTTCCGCCGCCCGAGCACAGCCGGCAGCCGGCACAGCGCGCGTCCTGGCGCGGGCAGACAGACACAGTCTCCATATGCCGCCGTAAAGCGGGACGGCGGGGGGCGCAGGGTCGCTCAGGCTAGGGGACCCCTGAGGGCCTGGCTTCGGGGGTGGGGGGCACAGGTCTGGGGCAGGCCCCACCTCACAGCCTGCCCTTGCATAGTCCACACAGACCCAACGCAACCCCTTGCCCACACCGCACCCCCATCGCGAAGCCAGTCCCCGGTGCCTCAGTTTCCCCTCCACCCACCAGCAGGCCACCGCCCCAATGTATGACAGTTGTCACGGATACACCCCGACCCCTTGCTCCACGGGAAAAACTGAAGAGGGGGAACAAGGCAGGCAGAGGCAGACGGACGCCAAGGGGCAGTCGGGGGCGGTGGCCGCCAGGGCCAGCGCTGCCATGGCAAACCCAGATGAGAACTGGGGCTGGAGGGATGGAAAAGCGGGAGGGCACTGGCCGTGCCCAGGGCCGCCAACCCGGGTTCCACCCCTGGAGCCCCGCCAGGAGTGATCCCTGAGCACAGAGCCAGGAGTAAGGCCTGAGCACTGCTGGGTGTGGCACCATAAAAAAATACATGAAAACTGGGCCCAGTCACCCCAAAACGCACGCATGCGCACACATACACACACACACACAGAAAGAGGGAGAGGGAAAGAGAGGGAGTGAAAGGGAGAAAGGGAAGGAGAGAGGGAGAGAGAGGGCACGCTGCCTCCTGCTCAGACCTCCTCGCCCCGCCGTGGCAAGCTGACGTGGGGGCAGGCCCCGCGGTGTCCACACGCTGGTCCCGAGCCTATACCGGGCAGGGCCCTGGGCCCGCAGGATGGGCAGGAGTGGTGCTGGAGGGAGCCAGAGGACAATGGAGAGCAGCAGAGGGTGCGGACAGGTAGGGCCGGACACAACCAGCTCCAGGGGTCAGGGGGCGAGAGGGCGGCGGCCAGGAGCTGAGAGAGGCCAGGACTCTCCTAGGGCCGGGTCAGCTGATGCCAGGAGCCCACCCTCTGCCTCGGCAGTGCAAAGGTCACCTGGAGGGTCAGGGAGTCTGGCCTGAACCAGCCAGTGGCCATTGGGTTTCTGCGGCCAGCTGGGCTTTCTGTTTTGGGTGATGCAGGACGCCTGCTCTGTCAGAGGTCACGTCCTCCCCCAGCAAGGGTTCTGGGGAGCAGGGCGGGTGAGGGCTGTGCTTTACAAGGCTGACCTCTGGGGCAGATGAGGGGGGCCTGATTTGAGCGGATGTGGGCCCCGGGCCAGGCCTGGGCCTCGAGAGAAGCGTGAGCTGCAGCCTCGCAGAGACTAGGGGGTTGGGAGGTGAAGAAACGGGGCCGGTGCCTCCCCTACACACACACACACACACACACACACACACACAGACACAGTATCTCCACCCCCCACACACACACAGACACAGCATCTCCACCCCTACACACACACACACGCACACACACAGCATCTCCACCCCTCACACACACACACACACACACACAGACACAGTATCTCCACCCCCCCCCACACACAGACACAGCATCTCCACCCCTACACACACACACACACACACACACACACAGACACAGCATCTCCACCCCTACACACACACACACAGACACAGCATCTCCACCCCTACACACACACACACACACACAGTATCTCCACCCCCCCCACACACAGACACAGCATCTCCACCCCTACACACACACACACACACACACACAGACACAGCATCTCCACCCCTACACACACACACACACACACACACACAGCATCTCCACCCCTACACACACACACACATACAGACACAGTATCTCCACCCCCCCCCACACACAGACACAGCATCTCCACCCCTACACACACACACACACACACACACACAGCATCTCCACCCCCCCCACACACACACAGACACAGCATCTCCACCCCTACACACACACACACACATACACAGACACAGTATCTCCACCCCCCCCCACACAGACACAGCATCTCCACCCCTACACACACACACACACACACACACACACACACATACACACAGAGCACCTACAGGGTGGCCCCCAAAACAAAACCAGCAAACAAAATTACAAAGAGAACAACCGGGACACCCCAAAGTCACATGAGCGCACGCAGGGCTGGGTCAGGTGGCGTCGGCTCCTCTGCCCAACGATAGTGGACAGACAAGGGGGTCTCAGGCCCACTCAGCATCAGAGGGCAGGAGCGGGGGCGGGCCTCCCGGGACATATCCCCCAAACACAGCTGCTGCCCCAGGTGCTGGGGGAAACAGAGGGGGTGGGTCTCTCTGGGAACCCCAGTTCTGGGTCCTGTGGCTGTGGATGCCGGGGCAAGGCTCCATGGAAATGGCCCGTCACATGCCTGTCCCCAGGCACCCAGCCAGCACCCCGGGCCTCCCCAGGGCCTCCTGCACCCTCCCACGGCCACGGGCCCCCGAACAGAGGCCTCTCTCCAGCAGGCAGACGCCCAGAGAGGCTCTGGGACGTGCGTCAGGTCACGGCGTGAGGAAGTGGGGCTCCAGCCTGGACGCCCCACCTCCCACCGCCATCTCGCGGGGTCACTGCCTCAGTAGTCCCT